TCGCGACGGCGGATTCACTCGTTCTCGAGGATATTTACCTTTCCTTGGTAAGAGAACGTACAAAGCAAACTTGAAAGAGAACCATGAATCTTTCAGTTATTCACCCATTCTAATAGTTTCGTGACTCTTCTCTTCTGAGATAAAGCGAGCACACTTTCCTTCTTTTAACTCCATGATAGTAGAGTGCCTCCATTCGTCGCGCCGAATCGCTTGAATCCATTTCCTTCTTCGTAAAGAACTTTGGCAAAGCGAAGATAATCAACTTTCGTCTCTGCTGCAGTTAAATCTCCTATTTGATGGCTCTTAAGCACGTAACAACTCGAAGGAAACCACATTGATCGACTGAATCGCTAAGACGCGCAGTCAAAACAAAACTATCGAGGCCTCACTAGCCTCACTTTCGCGCAACTAGACCCGGGCCGACCGAGAGATCCGCCATATTTGCATTCGGTGTATAAGAAAAGTCGATAAATCAAAATGACAGACCAACAGGTCTGCTTAATCAGGGCCCCGGCTCCCTTCTAAATAAAGAAGACCAGACCTCAAAACTAAATCCATGCTAACTGGCTCTCCCTAAAATTCCCTACAACATGTCTGGATTTAATGAAACCAAAATTAGATGTGGAATTTAAAACATTTGAGGCATTATTTTGACAAACTGTTACTGGCGACTTCTACTGAACATTTCCAGTAACAACAATTTGCCGTCTGTCGCCTTCGATTACGGAAGAATTTTCCCAGATGATCGCCTGTTCAACACCAGAACTGATAATAAAGCTAGATTCAGTAGCAGGGCGAAGAGCGATTAAGGTATTATTGCCGTTTTATCGGAGAGCAAAAGTCAGGGGAGGGGTAAAGATGAAGATAGGTTAAGAAGGACGCCTGATCGCAAGTGTGGGGACTGGGAGGTTAGTGTGCTGAAAGGCTGGCAATATACTTAATGAAATATGTTGAAATTTAACGCTCATGAAATGAAATCACATCTTCATTGATAGCATCTTCTAAGGCTAGTTCTTTCTACATTATGACAAGAAGCGAAGGGTCTGCTACTGGTCTGCTCTTTTAGAATATCCAGACTTTTTTGAGCGGGTACCCGACAAATAAAATATCAACTATGTAAAAAATTATTCTACTCGCAAGTTCAAGTTCAAGTTCAAGTTCAAGTTCATTTATTCACACTTATTCAATTACAATACAACAAAAAGGGAAAAAAAAGGAAGAAGTAAAAAACAGAGCTAACTATACATTGAATTAAACATAAAAAAGGAAGAGTCCGTAGCAGCTAAAGGAGCCAAGCTTTCGAGTTGGCTACTACCACAGTGCAGTTACAAGTGGGTGGAGGTTATACGGTACTAATAAAAAAACTATTTGAATTAAATAATTAAATAAATATAACTAAGTAACAGATTAGAGTTGTTCAAGATGCCTCTTAAATTCTGTACTGTTAAACTCTCCACGCGTTTAACTCTCCACCCACCATCTTGCGTCGGTCTCAAGCGGCGGATTAAGCATAATGCATGTAATACAATGCTTCTTCATCATTGCCACTTTCCGTTGTTTGAAGGGGCGAGGGAGTCAAGATGAAGATTTCCTTTGTTCTTGTTTAGAGCTTTTTCTCTCAACATCACTTTCCCCTTTATGCCAAAAATTTGGAAATTTAAACCATTTGAAAACAGTTTCCCAGGCAATTAAAGGATGCAGGCTGCTGCCGCTCTATAAGACCCATAAATGAAAACTCTCAACTTGTTTCCATGTATTTATAGTTGCTTCCTTTAATTGACGGGTATATCTTTCTACATGCTATTGGAATGTCTGGTAGCAAAAATAAAAAAAGTGGTCTAGACTTGCGTAAACATAAGGTATAAAAAAGTAACTTGTTTTTATGTGACAGCATTTCTTGATTCTTACGCACAAACGACACCTGCATCCCCGTGATGGCCATAGCCAATATCTCCTGGGCTTCATCCTGCATGCGCACGGTTGAACAGTGAAGCTTTTCCTCCGCTACATTCGACATCATCCAACCAAATATTGCCAGTACCTCGACCATATCTTGTACCGTATGGAGCAGACGTTGCTCTAGAGAAACGTTGTTGATATCTCAGAGATCATCGCACACTGTACCCCTGGCTCCGCTGTAATATACTTCAACACAGCCATACGAAGCACCTCCATTGGCTAAACGAACTAATGAAGTAATATAATAGAAACGTATCACAGTTTTTATAATACTAGGTGACGTCACTTACGAACAGGTAAGCTTGACATTAAGCCTTCTACGTAGTACATACAGTTTTGAAGAAATGGTGTTACTCTTATTGGTTGCTTCATAGAACCGTAATATCTAACCTGTTTTCACGTCAATATATAGTCTGTGAGCGAGCGTTAGATATACTACAAAATCTAGCCATGATGTCCAAGAGTAACAATGCACTGTAACTCTTGAATATTGATCGCTCGCCAAGAGTTACTTCAGCGGCTAAAGTTGTATACGTAAATACTGCAGAGGGAAACCATTTTTAAATGGTATATTTCCCTCAGTATACCGGTTATTAAGAGCGAAGGTACTCATAAAACTCAAAGTGTGGTGACAAACATGAAGCTAAACAAGCGCATAGCTAAATTGCCTGCACAGGGATTTCGCCCAGAAGGCGAAATCCCGAGGAGGCACTCTAGCAACTCGCGCGTATATTAAGGAAAGTACTTACAGTTGAAATATACAGTCAGTACGCTAGAAAAAATCTCGATTTGCTTCAACAGGGGCCGAGAGGAATCGGTAGGTAATGATCATGACGTTTCTATTGTTTGCACCCGCAGGTACGAATTGGTTAGGATGACGTAAAGACTTAAAATCCCGAAGGGACCGCTAAGGTAGATTTTTTGACATTTATTGTGAAGGCATACTTCGATCCTCTTTTGCGTCATGTGTTATCAGTGACATTCTGTAGAGCAGTTGTTTAGAAAGTTATGGACCAAAAGACACTCGTTAAGCGCAGATGAAGATATAACGTGCGTATAAGTGTGCATATATAAACACTTGGAGAGTTTGCCAGACACGAGTTCACAAATCTTTGATTGGAAACCTTGCCAGACACTCTTTCCCTCTCTTTGACCGGAATAAGACTCAGCCCCAAACAAGCAAGACGAGTGAACAACTGCTAGCTTATCACTAGCAGAACGATGGACGATTACAGAAATTCGCCGACAATCAAATTCTGTGCTGACTTATTCCCTGCTAACAGATGTCCTTCCGCTCTTAAGTTTGAACTAAGACTAGAATGCGCGAGCGTGAATTGATCAAACATCCTTTTAACCTCTAAGGCTTAATTTCCGGCAAATAAAATGAACTGAATGTAAAAAGTGAAAGAGAAATCAAAGCTGTGTAAATCGAACCGAAACGATGCATGAAATCTTGCGTTTCCTCTATTTATCTCACCTATTGTATGGAATGTGTGTGAAAATCTTCATTATGAATCGGTATATTTCAAAGAGCTACACAACGAGCAAGAATACTATTGACCGACAATATACAGAGAGGGGGCAGCTGTAGTGTCAACTATTACTAGTTAAAAAATAGAATTTCACTCACTGACTTAACGTCTCGTATGTCTAAACATACATCTTCAGAAGTAACTGTAAGCTTAAAATTTTGAAATATATAATAACAGTAATTTGAGTAGCTAATGAGATAATATTGACAAAAAAAAGAGGTAATACAATACTACAACTAAATAAAGAAAACGGTAAAACCAAAAGAAGCTATGACCCTATGCATGCATGTAAAACATACACGCGACTGTAAAACTAATTAGTAAAGAAGATACAACTTTTCGCTACTAACGTATTCATTTAAGGTGGCTCAACTGGAATTTTGGGGGGATACCTCCCAAGTTTGAGCATTAACTACGTCGCCATGAGTAAAGATATGGAAAAAAGATTACCACAACTGTATTATATAAAGAGGAAAATTTCTTATGATCTGGATTTTATTGCAGTCGGAGTCGCCATGGAAACGTAACGACGCCATTACGTTTTTTATTTATCTTTGTGTTTCTCTGTACCAAGAGTTTTTTAAGAAATCGCGTAAGGGAGTTTTAATTTGTACCTGCCATAATTGCCTCAATTATTGCAAAGTTTGAACAAATTCTATGAGAGCGTTTTTGAGATACTTTAAAACGAAGTTTTAAGCATCATAAAAACAGTGAAATAGCATGCTATCCACACAATTACCTACATTTTTAAGAAAATGATAAGCTTTCGAAACGCGGCTTCATCTCATAGTGGTTTGATTCCATTGAAAACTGCGTACAAAAAAAGAGGAGAATTGCTTCGGGCGATCGCGAGTAAGAAGTATTTTAGTAACTTGCATTCAGCTGCTTTTGTTACAGTTTTCACACGTAATGTGGTCCAAGCCTACAAATTTCGCATTCTTCAAAAAACCGCTCGCTAAATTTTTTTATAAATTTGACAATCCCGAGATCAATTGTCTATAAATATACCCTGCAAGTTTCAAGAACATTGAAAACAGAGAAGGCTTTTAAATAGGGCCTCAAATATAACTAATTTTCCCCCCAGATTTTGTGTTTGCAACTGAGCGTCGTCATTATTCACTGGCATTGTTTCCAAGTTTCATATGCACGTGCACATTTAGCAAAAAGATAGAATTTGCATTAACAGCTTAGACTTTGCAACGTAACGCAGAGTTACTACTTCACAGCTTTTAAGGAGAGCAAGATTATGCATCTGTACAATAAGCTTTGTGTTGTTTAAGATGATAACTTTGCATGGTAATACATTGAGAGTTTGTATTTTTGGGGAACAATTAAAGCGATGTAATCTAGTTTTGTACATATTAAATAATCAACCACATAATTAAAGAACACTATGTATTTTTTTTTACTTCATGTTTATTTGATGTTACCTCTTCAAGCAGAAGCCTTTTATGTACCAGCATGGATAAACCTGGTCAAGTCCAGGATCAAAAGGATCAAATTAACTCAATGCAAAAATCGAATCAAGAAAAAGGCCCGATGTTATTTAAAAAAATTGCCAGATACTGTGCAACGCAAATGATCGATTGAGTTTTACAGTCGATTTACAAAGTTTATCCAAATGTGCGTTGTGCTTTTTTCATACCTTTGCAACGCACATTTCGATAAACTTTGTAAAGCTCAACCGATTTTATTTTGTAAAGTAATACAAATTAATCAGAGCTATGAAAAGGTCCTACGAAAAGGTGTTGTTTAAACAATCGCCCCATAGGGGTCAACTACGTCATCCCCAAGGGCGTCAACAAGCAAAGCCCCTGAATCTAATTCTGGAGATTCAAAGAGCCCAGCGTTGAAGAGCTGAATTGTTTTACAATAACAATCAGAATATTTCTCCGTATTCCACTCTAGTTTCGATAGGGTTATGTTACGGTCTTCGTGAGCTGTGACAACTACACAAAATCAAACTGCTGGGTCTCTATAAAATTCCGTGGCGCCAAGCGACTAAGAAAAATCAGGAAATTTTGAAACGTGTGTATTCCTGTTTGTTGGTTCATGAATCCTAACAAAAAGATGTGATTGGTTAACGACGCTGTTTGCCAAAGCAATGGTGCAGGTGCGGAGAAAATCACTTATAATTAGCTTCACCTTACGATTGGTTACCCTACTTTACAAAAAATGCATCAGACGTTTAATCGTTGCAGAAGCACTGCTATGAATGCTGAATGAAACGTCAGCTATAGACATGCACGTCCTTTTTTATCAAAGAACTGAACACAACACACTTTAAAAAGCAGCATCCATGAGCTTTTACCCTCTTGTAAACTAGACGCTTAATAAATGTTACGTTAGCATTTCGCTTTCTTTGCTGGCTTCACTTAGCGGTACCCGCGGTACACCACTCATTCATTTATCAACATCTTGCGGAAACTTAAATTTTGGGTCGACGGCAACTGCCAGGTTCTTGAGCAGCTTGTTCTAGGGCCTCCATCATGGCCATCATAGATTTGATCCTCTTCTTGATTTTTAAAATCTCTTCTTTTAGTTCAGCAAATTCAGATGTTTGACCCTCTTCGACCGGTTCTGGAGCTGCTTCCGCAAACCTTGCATGGAGCCACTCTTCTATTCTGAGGAGTAAAACAAGTTGAAATGTATTTTCCTTTCAATCGAATTTTACCACCGATATGGGAATTCCAATTTCCGGTAACCCTATCAAGAAAACTGATCAAAACTGATCAACAGTGTAGCAATAGCTGTTGCAAATATTAGGCGGTGATTGCCTTTCTATTCCAGCGACTCCTGGCAACCAAGACAATTTCGTGGTCTTGCACTATCTAGGCAAAAATATGAATTAAAATATCCAAAGCGATTTTGCGACAAGCAATATTTAGAATAAACGTTAATGAAAAGAAAACCTGACTGAAAATATTCGGTGACAGTTATATGAGTGCCCACGAACAAACGAACTATGAGAACACACACACACATACGCTTTATTACCGCCATTTGGTCAAAATGAGGTATACCTGTTGACTCTAGACAGCTTGTTGGGCTTCTCTACACGAATGCTTTCGTAAACCTTTCGGATAATGCTTTTGGGATACGCCTCCTCTATTTTAAACTGGTATTCCAGTTGCATCACAAGTCTCTTGATCGTGGCATATTTCTTCATTGTTTTGGTGTCTCCCACGGCCAGACCAACCTGCAAGAAAATTGTACGGTAAAATTTATTACAATAAAATAAACATTTGTAAAAGTAAACTTAGTATATCGTCTGACTTGTCCGTTTCTGGTTGGCTTAATTTGTTACGAAGTGCTTCGCCAAATACTTTTTTTATTATTGGACCACTTATGTCATCCGCCCATTACATGAAATTAAAAACTGTTCAACGCAGCGAACTTCACTTGCTAAACCCCACATCGCCATCTTCGAAAAATAGCTACATCAAAGAACCTTTAAGGTAACTGATCGCTGTAGCTAGAACGTTCCAGTAAATACGGTTATATCTTTTTTTTTCTTGATTAAAAATGTTTTTTTAATGGCAGTCACGGCAAGAATACGATGAACTTACTGTCAGTTAGACGTGACCAACCGAGCGCGTGTACCAAAACCCAAAGTAGTCGCGAAGCTACTTTCGACCATCATTAAAATGCGCATATACGGCTTTAACTAACAACGTCGTGTGCGGGCTCTTTCAAGGCCAATGACTAACTTGTAATCAACAAGTGGTAATGGCAATTACCGCTGCGACGATCATATCTCTATTTAAAATTTGTGCCTCGGTCTCCGCAATCCACATCATCATTGTTTTATTCCTTTCAGGGGTTGAGATGAACTCAACAATTTGGCCTGCTCCCAGGGATGGGTCTTCATAGCTCAAATGGTACAGCACACAGCGGTAACGCAGAGGCCTTGGGTTCGAATCCCGTTGAAGTCTCAATTTTTTTTTTCGGGTTTATTTGCAATTACTTAAGTTTCAATTACCACTGCAATGATCATATCTTCGTTTAAAATTTATATCTCCAATCCCAAGTGTTTTAGAGTTGGCGTGATGTCCCTCGTGGATGTTGTCGACTAAACCACATTTAGATTTGGACTTAGAAAAGATAAAAAATGTCCTGTGCAGAACCTTTACAGATGACGCGTGATTGTTTCGACAAATTTAACATTAGCCTACACAGTTCTAAGGAAATCGATACCAGTTGGAAAAGTGTTTTTTCATTACCAAATTTATATTTGAAAACTGTTCTTTCGAATTAAAACTCAAAGTCCTACATATGCGCAGAAAACTACAACAGGCTCTTTCAACAGCCTGAGGAAACAGACGAACTTTTGGACGCCACCGATGGTTTCCCTGCGAAATGATGTCTGAGGAACGAGCACAGAAATGTCATACTGATGACGTTTTACTTCCCAGATCTTGTCAGAACTTCCGATTGGTCGTGCGGCGAGGGAAATTTCCTTCAACTAATTAAGAGCACTACCCAGATCAGGGTAGTGACACGTCATCAGTATGGAATTTCTGTACTCGTTTCTCAGATGTCATTTCGCGGGGAAACTGTCGCGAAATGTCGGCCGTTTTCTCAGGCTACTCTTTCAGCTGTTAAAAATACATATCAAACCGGTTCCTTACCAAAAGGTTCATCAGAGCGGTAGTAAGGAGAAACAAGCACAAAAAGAGGAAGAACTGTCCAGTAAAAGGGAATGGATTTAACAGATTCTTGTTCTCTTCACACTTCTCTCCTATGGTGTCTATGAAGGTTGGTACAAAGTCCAGTTCACCAATCATCATCACAAGCACGCGGAGCAGGGAATGATGCACTGAATGGAATGCAGGCTGAATGATAATGATGAGATAAAATGCGGTTTTACCAAGTGAGTAGATAAAGAAAATCGGCCACCATTTAATTTGACTCACAAGCGAACGTTTCGAGCGCTCGCCCGAATTGGGTTTCATGAGGTTTACATATAGTTGCATACTAACAGTGGAGTTACACCATTAGGTCGACTCTTGGCAATTTAGTGCAATGAACAGCGTTCGCTTAAAAAAAGACTTCTACTGCTTTCTGTGTCAGTACCTTGAAGCAGGGACGAGCCAAAAATCGCTATAGGTTGCTTGGAATAATCGGTAAAATCAAGGGACCGGTTTCGATACGTCTTTGCCAGCCAACAAAACGCGATCTTTGGCTTCTCCCTGCATTAAGTTAGCGACTGTCAAAGGAAAACAAAAATGGGAGGTCAAGCGCGTTCAAGACCGTAGTGTTAATTGAAACTAGAAATGTTCACGAGAGGGCTAAATAGAGCAGATGTGATGATTTGCTAAAAACCAAAACCCTAAACTGGCCCAGCATCAGTTACAACGAGAAACGTTTTGGTAATTGTCACAACGCTCTTCGATCAGCAGTGATTATAATATTTACTACTGTTTTTAATTATTTCTTTCTTTAACGAAAGAACCTTTGGGGGTTCGGATCCCTCAAAACATAGGATACTAGTACGTAGTTGAACTGAATTGACGTCATCTTCTAATAGTCTTCCTGGATATGTTTGATACAGTGGAACCTCTCCGTTGGGACAACCCCTTCAAGGGAGAACAAAATTTGGTCCCGGAAAAATGTTAATGTAATCTTTGTATCCGCTGTTGTATCAACCTCTATTGAAGGGAAATCTCTATAAAGGAAAAGGGGCATTTTGTCTGGATCCCAAAACCTAAGGTTTCTTTCTTATCTTTTTTTATAGATAAATTAACTCAGTAATTACAGAATTCTGGTTTTTCCTCGCAAGATTAACTGACTAGCCAACAATACCTGAGAACTAACTTACCTGTTCTTTAAAGAGGACGAAAAAAGCCAATGCAAATCCCAGAACCAGAAAAACAAACACGAACATAACTTGGAATACAGTCTTCGTCACTTCAATATACATTGAGATGTAAGTGCCAAACAAGCGATATCTTCTGAGAAACAGCATCATGTTGGTGTAGCACACGAAGATTGCAACAGCTCCAATATTCCAAAGTACTAAGGAGGCCTTCGTACTGTCAAAAAACTTGTCGACGTCTTCTGGCTTTGCGACGTAGGGGACCATAAACAAGGCTGAAGAGATATACAGTGCCCAGTTCAGGTAATTAGACAGGTCCTTGAAGTAGTTCCAACGCTGAACGTAAATTTGCAACAGTTCTTTGCATATGTGGAGCAAGGAGAAAGTCAAGATCAAAAATGACATAGTTCCTTTGAAGAGGTCGTCTTCGTCGTAGTAATAATCTGACGGTTTTTGCTGTAGTGGTTCACTGAAGGTGTGGTCTGACCTATCGTCGACTATAAATACAGTAAAGAGCACCATAAGCAAGAGATAAGTAACAAAGTCGAATAAGAAGACGTATCTTCCTAAACTCTGCCACTTTCGTTCATTAAATTTCAGCGTAAGAGGATGAAGAAGAAGTCGTTCACGCTTGTGCTTTATCATCATCTGAACAGTGGAAAACCTTCCACTCGACATGTCAGCATCTGGACCAGGATCTAGGTGCTTGAAGTCATAAGTTACAGTGTAGTCTGGGTCGGCTGGGTTGAGATGGTCCGAGGAACGTACGCATTGATCAAGAACAACTTCAGCTGCTTCTGGGAAGTTTTCAACCAGGAGTGAGATTGCAGTTTGATCGTTTGATGTTTGATATTGCTTAAGTTCCTTCCACCTTTAAAATTGCAGGTAAAAGCAAACAAATTGACTTGACATTCGACGTTTCCTCCCCCTTCCCCCCACAATGTATATATTACGATGTATTCATAAGCACCATTATAAATTATTTAATTAGGAGTATTACATAACGTGGCCTCTCCAAAAGTCCTGACCTGGCAAACATGATTTTCTATCTGAATACTGGCACAGAGAATGAAGCTCGCTTCTTTTCATCTCGAGAGAGACAAAACCAGCTAATAACGAACTCGGCGCTTTCATTTCAGGAATCGAAAATGAAAATAGCGATCCTTAACTTGTTTGACTCTTGTCGTGTATTTCTAATCATTATATTGTTCTTTCGAAAACTCCTTTGGATTACCAACTGTTAAGTTACGAGTATCCTTTCCACCAACTTTGTGGAAAGGATCTTTCCGGGGCTTCAAACCTATTTATTTGTTTGTTTGGGGTGGGGGGGGTTTCAGGCAGGTATTACAAAATTAAAGGTGAGATAATATATTTGCAATTTGTAGTAACTTTATTGTTATTGAGTTGGCTTAAGCTAATTATTACTGACATTAAGATGTCTGCTGGACATTTGTGACATTTATGATCTGGATTCTTTAAATAATTCACCCACAAGAATATCTCCTCAGCGTTCTTCATGCTTAGATGTTATCCTGATGAATGTTCCAGGTCATTTCAGAGAAACAGGAACTTTGGAGGTTGGCCTCAGTGATCATTGCCTAGTTTATACTTTAACGGTTCTAAATAAGAAAATACCGCAACCTGAACCCGAAATTATCCGAGTGCGCTCTTTCAAGAATTTTGATGAAGGCTCTTTTTGTAACGACCTTAGTTTGGTTCCTTTTTCGACGGCTTACGTCTTTGATGAACCTGAAGATGTATATTGGGCTTGGGAAAATTGTTCGTTGAAGATCTGAATGACCATGCTCCAGTTAAATCGTTTCGCCGACAACATCGCGATCAATTTCAATTTATAAACCCTGAATTACGGGAAGTGATGAGAGAACGTAATCGAAAGCCTGAAGACTGGGAAAAATACCGCCAACTAAGAAACAGACTTGTTAGTATGAGGAGGAAAAGAGTAAGAGATCACTTTTCCAGAATCTGCGATGATAAATATTCAGATCAAAAGAAGTTTTGGAACACAATAAGACCGTATATTTCATCCAGGAAAAAACAGTCTTTCCACAATGAGCGTATTGTTTTGAAAGACAATGGTGGTTTCATTAGAGAACAAAAGAAAGTCGCCGAGGTTCTGGCAGAATGTTTTCAAGTTCTCAGCACCCTGACTTCAATCAATTGCCTCCAAAGTCATACCAGACAATAAAAGCTCATCAATCCCGCCCTTCACCTTAACAAATACAAGCCCAGGTGAAGTGAAGAGAATTATAAAGAATCTTGAGACAAACAATGCTACTGGACATGATTAAATTCCAGCTCGAGCTGTCAAAGAATCCGCTGAAATTATGCGTCAGCCTTTCAGCTTTTTAGTGAATTTTCTATTTGAAAGGGGAAAAGTGCCTTCGAGTTGGAAACTAGGTGAAATTGTCCCGGTCCACAAGAAAGACTGTACGTTAACAAAGACAAACTATCGCCCTATAACAATCCTGCAGGTCTTATCCAAAGTTTTTGAAAAACTCGTTCACTCAAGACTTGCTTCACACTTTGAAGATATTTATCATAACAATGTCTTTGAATATAGAGATTATCATGGGTGCGACACAGCTATCCTTAGTGTAACTGAACAATTCAAGAAAGAATTAGATAATCACAAACTTATTAGTCTGGTGTCTATGGATCTGTCAAAAGCATTTGACACCCTTCCCCATAACCTTATTGTCAAAAAGCTTGAAGATAACGGTGGATACTCATGACAAAAGTTATCAATCTCGTTACGAATTATTTAAGTGCCAAACAGCAACGTGTCAGATTGACTGGACAACACTCTTCTATGAAAACCATAATGAAGGGTGTCCCCCAGGGATCAATTCTAGGTCCCATTCTCTTTAATATTTTCATGAATGACCTGTCTTATGCTATAGACGAATGTACATTATTCACGTATGCCGACGACACTCAATTGTTTAAGTCTGCGGAAAATATCGACCAGGTTGAACATGCCATAAATGCCGATGAGTGTTTTGAATTCAATCAAATGAAAAGAAAGCATTCAAAATATCAAGCAATTACTTTTGAAAGGGTCGAGAGAAATCCAGTGTTGACCTGTGAAGGAACCGTTATCCCTATTCAAGACGAAATGGAACTCCTCGGCGTCACTGTCGATAACAAGCTTAAGTTTGAGGGACAGATTCGTAAAATCTGCCGTACAGTTAGTCAACAGGTTGCTGTTCTTAATCGTTTGAAGAAAATATTACCTTTTGAATTGTGGATAGATATATATCGTGCTTTCATTGCACCGCATTTCAATTACTGCTCAGAGTCGTGGCATCACTGTGGTAAAAGAGGTTGCGCCAAACTTGAAAAAATCAATGAACGAGCTACGTACGAGACGTTGCTAAAAAAACTAAACTTGCTGTCCCCACTTAATCAAAGAATTGTTAAAATGGCCACCGGTGTTTACAAAGCTATCCATGGGTATAAAGTCCCCGGAGGGATAGGAGAGCTACTGCATTTATAATCTTAGAGGAAAACACATCCTCGAGCTACCCAAAGTAAATACAACCACCTATGGACTTAAATCGTGGCGTTATACTGCAGCTAAGATTTCGAACGCTCTTCCGGATCAGTTTCGTGCCGCTAATAAAATCGGAAAATTTAAGAACTTAATGTCTAAGTTGGATTTATAACATAGCGCGCGTGCTTGCCCTATATAAGTCCTATTGAGCCGCTATGAACAAAATCTTTATTTACGCACGCCCGTGCGTAAATAAGATGACGTGAGCATATTTTTTTTACCTGGCTGCAAAGTTGTCGTCTTTTAAGCTGTAGTGCACTTTTCCTTCTCTTTAAAATGTGGAAGAAACCAGCGAAGAACTGCCCAATTCTTCTATCGGCATTGACCTTTTAGGTCCTGATCCAAGAAGCAGCAAAAATAAAGCCGAATTAAAAAAAAAACTCGCAAGTTGCGCGCCGTTCGCAAATTTGTCGAAGACCAGCTGCAGCAAATTTTGGCCGAAAGACATTCACTGGGAACAGAACAGACACCAACTGGTCATCAACAACATTTAAAGGCAAAATTTCCGTTTTTATTGTTGTTTTTAAATTTGTTATGCACTTTTGTTATCTCCGGACAATCCGACTGAAGCAGGAAAATTTCTATCGCAATAACAACACAAATTACGCAAGAAGACATAAATTTATTACTCTCAAAAACAACTGCTGCCAGGTCTCCTCAAGAAGCCGTAATGACCAGCCAATGCTCGTAAATGAATATAAGTTTAAAGAAGGATGACAGTCGTCTTCGCTAAAAACATGTTTTCTGGATTTCGCCGAGCAAAACGTAAACATCTTTTCAGCAAATCCAAACCATACTCCACGACTTCTTATGAACATGTTATTTTTAACTTTAGGTGAACTTTAAGACTCTTTTACCTTTGTTTCTGCTTAGTTTCCATTGATCGTTAACGAATAAAGAAGCAAATTTTCTTTCTCACTTTTACAGAAAGAATATTTTCATTCAAACTAGACGATTGTGGCGTGTTCGTAATCAGCCAATAGAACCGTTTGTTATTGTGTCACGCGTTAAGAGAATTTTGCAGTTAATCAAAAAGCAAGCATTTTTGTGAGCTATGTTATAAAAGAATTTGCTCATGCTTTTAGCTGTGCGTATATCGAGTTATGGATGCACTTGGGAAGTTTGGAGAGCACTCAAGAAGCTAGAGTTGCACTCGGCTATCGCCTCGTGCAACTCTTACGCATCTTTCGTGCTCTCCAAACTTCCCGCGTGCATCCATAACTCGATATACGCACGCTAAGCATGAACAAATTCTTAATTTTCAAATTTTAAATTTTAATCGCCCAAATACATTTAAATACATTTGGCTTAGTTTTAACGTCATTATGTAATAATGTCGTGATCTACTCTTAGTTTTAATAATTTTTAACTGTATATATATTTTTTATATAGGTTTTCATGAGAAATCGTCTCTTTCTATTATTATTTCTAGTTTATTTATTTATTTTTTGTGGCATGTCTGTAAAGTAGCTGATTAGCTAAGAAAATTGACCCCGTTAAATAAAGGGCATTGTATTGTATTGTATTGTATTGTACTCTGCTAACCTTTCGTGTTTGGCAATCGCCATGGCGGCATCACACGATCCTGCTTTCGCGGCAACTTCTAAACAAGTAAGACCTTGTTTATTCCTCAATGTTGAGGATGCACCATGGTCCAACAGTAACTTCACAATAGCTGGATGACCCTGACCACACGCTACATGCAAAGCAGTATCACTACCGACATCCTGTAGGTCAACAGAAGCTTTGGAGTCAAGAAGAATCACCGCACATTTTGTGTGGTTTCCATGAGAAGCCCACATCAGAGGTGTTCGAAACTTGTTATCCCTGCTATCGACCTCAGCTCCCATTCTAAGAAGCACCTGACAGGATTTCCTATTGCAAAGGGAAGCAATGCAGGTAGCTTGGTAAAACAATATGCGATACTTACATACACTGTTAAAAATGCATTGGATTCTCTTATTCGCCATTTGCAATCTCCCATAACACACCTTGCCCCCCCCCCCCGCCACGGCTTAAAAAATGCATATTGAATAAGCATTGTCTTCAATTGGGACGACCGCAATACGTTCATGCATTTTTTTGGGGGGGGCTAAGCAAAGTGTATAATGAGGGATATGCAAATGGTAAATAGAATTAAGTAACGGATGGAACTGAAATCGACTTACAGAATAGACCTTATGCACGATACCGGCCATCTTTTCAAGCGCTTTAGGATTGATGGAATAAAAGCAATGTTACGTGGTATTTCAGGGGGCAGTCAAAACATAACACTTGCCTATTCGGTAATCGCAGTCGATTTTATTTCTGTCTGGATTTGTAAAGAGGTACCTTCAGGACTTTTTAGCAACATTCTCATTTGAGGCTTCTTCAGTACTTGACATTTTTTTTTAAAATGATATTTTCACTACAAAAATCCCCTTACAAGCTGCAGTAGATGAAAAAACATGAGTCAAATATGCCTTTTACATCTTCCCTACCCCTCCCCCACCTCTCCCCTACCTACCATTTCCCATAATTCTCTACTTGTCATAAAACGCTATGACATTTGCAATCAGCGCCCGCGGTAGAAAGTGTTTTCCGTCGTCGGTTAATTTTCTAGATTTCTTTTTGGCCCCCTGCAACAAAGTTTTCCGGAAAGCATCATTAAGCCTTATGAAGAAACAACTCTCACGATTGGCAAAGTCTGCCGTCGTCCAACACGTTACCATATTTCGTCTCATTTTGGCTAAACGGGTGAAACACTGATCTCGGGCTTGAGACAGAAAGGCAGCATATTGCGAGCGTTGATTTGGCGGTGACGAGTCTCTGGCCTCAAAAAGTAGTTTGTTGGAGTCAAATCTATTCGGCGCGAGCAAAATTGAAGCTGATTTCTGACCAGGCCAGAGACTTAGTTAAAACTTGTTTTGAAGGCCGGCCTCTATATGTCCCTTTCAAAACGGCTGTTCTACTTCCGGGATCTTGAATAAATCGACTGTGTCAGCAGTGTTTCGATATAGTTTTTCAGAGGCCATACCGATATTTTTCAATCGCTTTAAAAGTGATTTTATCCTTGTCTGATCGCTATAAAATTTTCACCAATGACTGACTATAGATTGAAATATGTCAAAATGTAGGTTTTGCTAAAATCGATATTACTATGACAACAATAAACAAGAAACTTTGAAATAGCTAAACGCCTAATTTTGCGCGATCTAGACCTGCTGCTGAAAATCCAACACGAGGAACTTAAAGTTGGGTGTTTAGCAAATAACCTCCGCAAGAAGTAAAAAATTCTGTATGTTTGAATTCGACTAAAACGAAAATATATTTCAAACCTTAAATTTTAAATAGCCGTGATAGATTATTTTTTAAAAAACGTTATAAATGACTCAAATTATTCTTAAGTAGCGTCAAAATGCTGCTTACTATCATATTTTGATGCTAGGAAATTTTGGCGTATTTTCGTTCTTGCGATCTTAAAAACTAACCCGTTTTCTCACCACCTGTCTAAGTGCAACTTCTTTCAAAATATATCTCTGAAACGACTCGAACAAATTTTTTTTAAATCTCTTCACATAATCTCCATAATGTATATAATAATGTCTGAAACTTTCATTAAGATTGATTACTGCAACACCTTGAAATTTCAAGACAAAACTATCCTACGAACCGGTCAAAAATCCGCGCTACAGCAGTCACTGTTTTGACGTTATGCTAATTTTTCTAAATTAATGCGGACAATACATATATCCATGACTAGTAAATTTCAGTGTGAGTATTGTCAATGTTTTACAATCAAAAGGTGCGATAAATTCAAACTAAAATGTACTAGTCATGGAGATATGTATAGTATGCATTCTTTTGGAAAAAATAGCTTAACGTCAAAACAGTGAATGTTGTAACGCAGATTTTTGACCGGTTCGTAGGATACGTTTGTCTTGAAATTTCATGGTGTTGCAGTGAATCAATCTTCATGAAAGTTTCAGACATTTTTATATACATTATGAAGATTACGTGAGGAGATTTTAAAAAAATTCGTTCGAGTCGTTTCAGAGATATACAAGAAAGCGCTAAAAGTCCAAATTCTGAATGAAGTTGCACTTATACAGGTGGTGAGAAAATGGGTTAGTTTTCAAGATCGCAAGAACGAAAATACACCAAAATTTCCTAGCATCGAAATATGATATTAAGCAGCATTCTGACGCTACATAAAAATAATTTGAGTTATTTATAACGTTTTTATTAAATAATCTATCACGGCTATTTAAAATTTAAGATTGGAAAAATATTTTCGTTTCAGTTGAATTTTTTTACGTCTTACGAAGATTGTTTGCTAAACACCAAACTTTAAGTTCCTAGTGTTGGATTTTCAGTAGCTGGTCTAGATCACACAAAATTCGGCTTTTATCAATTTAAAAGTTCTTTTGTTTCTTGTTGTCATAGTAATAGCGATTTTAATTAAAACTACATTTTCACAAATTTCAATCCATAGCCAATTACTGGTGAAAATTGTATAGCGATCAGACAAGGAAAAAAACACTTTTAAGGCGATTGAAAAATATCGGTATGGCCTCTGAAAAACTTTATCGAAACATCTTTTAAATATAATGATTAATGTGGAGAAAGCGAGAGTTATCGGGAGAGAGCTGAGTAGTTTGATGATATTTCGCCAGTATTAAGTGTGGAAACATTGTCCCTGGTTGGTTGTGGATAGTTTTGGCAGTGCCGCGAACGTGGGTAATTGTGTAATTTCCTGAAGTTGTTGACAGACAGATTTCAGGTATGTCGTGGCGCTCGTGTTATAAGAACATTGTGTACAAGCATAAAAACGCTTTGTGAGTGTTTAGTTGAAATAATTTTGTCTAGACACCCGATTGTGGGGTCAGGAAAGATGGATTGTAGGTCTGTTACAAATCGGTTGCTTTTGCCAAGAGCAACTTTTCGTGTGTTTCCAGCGATTAATTTATCCGTTTTAAGCCCTAACTAGCTACTTTCAACTGCTTTTTATTCAGCTCAAGGGTCAAATTGTTAAAACGCACTTGAAATTTCTGTAGGTACCTTTTTTATTAATTCAGACACATTTATTCTTCCAAAACAAGGGACGATTTAGTAGTCGTAAAAAATGTAACGTTCGAGTTTTGACGTCTTGCGTCACTATAATTGCTTGCTTGTGAGAACATCTTTGATCTACGGTCGACTCTGTATCCAAACAAGTAGCAAAGATCGCTTTCACCCATAATGGAAAAACAGCGATAACTGTGAAGAAATAAAAGAATATTCTAGAATATATCTCTTGCCTCTGCCCTTTCATTGCAGCGCTGTGCAATGGTGTTCGGCCAAGTTCATCTCGCGCATTTATTTCAGACATGTGCTTTGCCAGAACTTCAACGTGTTTGGATGAGGCCTTTTCTGCTGCATGGTGAAGCGGTGTCTTCTGACTCTCATCGCTGAAGCCCAAGTGCTTCTGCTTGGATAAGACGAGCTCTAAAATCTACAAACATGAAACCGTATGCCAGAGTCAGTGTCATTTATTGATCTCCTACACAACAGCCGAGTGTCTATTAAGCGGCCCCTCATTAATTCTTTAGGCTTCAATAGTGACCAGCTTCCAATTTCTCCCAACAACAGCACGCTACAGGTCACGAGAATGAACGAAATAATCACTACAGACAAAATACCTTGATGTTTGAACAAATTTTCTCGAGCAGGACCATAAGAATGTATAAAGAGAAGTGCAGAGATTACGCATGCTGATACTAGGGCTTAAAGGGTCAAGCTGTCATCTATCGGTAAGTTCCTAGAGTATCGGCGAACAAACTTGTCAGTACACCACTTAACACCTAATAGAGTGGACACTTGTTCCTTCTTCAAGGGAGGCCACTTGAAAGAGAGTAAGTTTGACTGTTTTCAAATACAGTAACTCTTCCTCAATGGACACCTTGAAGCTGTAAAGATGGGCCATGCCGTTATTCATTCCTAAGAATGTCCGTCTTAGAAAATAACTGATGTAGGCTCCCTATCACTTACATGGCATTCCCGTCAGTCACCACCAGTTGCAAACATGTGAGAGTCAGACGACCTACCGTGATGTCGAGAAGGTGTTCATATAACTTGCTGTATTCTAGACAGTCTGGGTTTCGTGGGATGTACAGTACCGAGACTGCTCTAATCAAGTTAGTTGACGAGCTTTTGTTCGGCCTAGATAATAATCATGTATGCGGCATGGTCCTGGTTGATTATCGAAAGGCTTTCGACATGGTGGACCATAAGCTATTGTTGCGCAAGTTGGAACTGTACGGTATAGCCAACCGGGAGCTTGCCTGGTGTCACTCTTATTTGTTGGATAGGAAGCAAGTGGTCCGTGTAAATGGGGGTGAGTCAAGCGAAGCTTTGATGTTGCATGGAGTCCCTCAGGGCAGTATTTTAGGTCCTTTATTCTTCATTTTGTTTATCAACGATCTGCCCTTGTATACAAGTGCTCAGTTGGACCTTTACGCAGAGGATACGACTGTCACTGCTTTTGCGGATGTGAAAAACTTAGCCACCTTAAGTTCATCACTAAATAAGTCTGTCTCTGAAATTCAATTATGGGCTTTAGCGAATAAGCTCCCATTAAATGAAGACAAGACTAAAGTACTCACGATCACTGGGAAAAGATGTGTGGCTAACATAAATGGAAGTGACATAGATGTTTTCGTAAACGGAAAACAGCTCAGTAATATGGATTGTGCTACCTTATTAGGCGTAGAAATTGACAGCAAATTGTCATTTGATGAACATATTGAGAAAGTATGTAAAAAGTTGGCCTCTAGAATCGCAATACTGCGTAAGATTCGAGCCTGTCTACCTCTTAAACAGCGACTTCAGTTTTAAAATAGCATTATTCGCCCTGTTATGTCTTACGCTAACGTTGTTTGGGCAAATTGTGATAAAGAGTCGGTTTATAGGGTCTTAAGATTGCAAAAACGTGCGGCACGCGTTATTTCTTATGCCGATCGCATGACACCATCAGTTGCTTTGTTTAACAAGCTAGGTTGGATTCCGTTTTATGAGCAACATAAGATAGATAAATGCATAATAATGTATAAGCGAATTAATGGGTATTTGCCGAATTATCTTAATGAACACTTAATTTTGAATAATAAGCGGCACTCCCGCAACTCTAGATATTCAAGCATTAATGCTGTTTGTCCTAAATATAGAAGAGAAACAGAAGGAGGACGCTCTTTCGTTGTTTCGGCAACAAGACTGTGGAATAGTACACCAATTGAAATTAGGAAACTAGGTTCTGTAGCATGTTTTAAAAAGAACATGTTTGCCAAGATTTTTAAGGAACAACAATGTTTGCATCATTATATCATTTAATAATTTTTTATTTTTATAAAAAACGAATCCTGTTTTATTTTAATTGTTTATATATTTTAGCTTACTATATTTATTAGATTGTAAATAGTTGTGTATTTTATGAGGGCCACAAGTTTATTAGCCTTTGGCTATTACGTGCTACCCTCTTTAAATAAAGGCTTTACTTACTTACTTATTTGGGAGATAGCTGTGACTTGCGATTAACTAACCAGTGAGCCGGGAACTTAATTCTTTTGAACGAATATCGCGTTCTGCCTTAAAGTACTTGAAGAAATAACAGGAGGCTGCTTTATAGGGATACTGTTTACAGTTATTTACTGAAACTTTTCTCCACCCGGACTAAGATAAATGGAGGGGAAAGAGATGGTGGTCGCTTATAGAATTCCCCTTTATAGAGGCTCGACTGTATTATAGTCACTTCTATGTAAAGGTGCCGTCATGTCAAGTTTTCTGCCCTTGATAAAGCAAGTGCTGTTGAATTGCTTTCTAACAGTTCCGTTACAAATTTACCTTGATGTCTCTTGTCTTTGCCGCGTAGTGCAGAGGAACTCTATCCTTCAAATCTCTTCTGTTTAAACAGCGTACCCCCGCACGACTTTCCAAAAGCATTGATAGCATCTCTAAGAGCTCGTTCTCTACCGCAATGTGAAGACAGTTTTTCATATGCAAGTCCGCTGCGCTCAAATTAGCTCCAAGTTTGAGAAGAACTCGGGCGCAGTCCACGTGCCCAGCAGCAACAGCATTCAGAAACGGAGAACGTCCTTCGCTGTCACGAGCATTAATTTTTGCCTCCTTTTTCACAAGAAATTCAATTACGTTTAACTGGTTAAACATAGCGGCCCTACATGGGAACGATAATCAACGGGTTAGTTAATTAAGTGATTGTAGCTTAAAATTTAAGAAACGCTGCTTTTCTTCTTTTTCGCTTCCAGACTGGTAATTAAGAAGACAACATGGGGATACTTTTAAGGTCCTGCAAAACTAGGAACATTGATGAGCGAACCGACATGCATCTGGAAACAAGAATGTTCTTCACTGATTAAATAATCATTTTTTTGAGACCTAGAAGGGAAATTTGCGTTTGTATGTTTTGTTCCACATGCAACTACATGACAAACATTTAGGTCACCAACAACGTTACCAATATGTTTTAGCTTAGAATTTTCTAGACTGTGGGCAAAATTCTATGGAACGTCCATTCAACACTTAAAGTAATCAGCATTGCTTAGTCTTATTCAATGCAAATTAAATTAACCTGTGGAGAGGTGTTTTGGAGTCCCCGTCTTTCTTGTTCACATCAGCACCTCTTGAAATAAGCAAGTCCACTACCTCAAGATTTCCCTTCGTTGCCGCCATGTGAAGGGCGGTGACCGAGCCACACTTAAGACAGTCGACATCAGCACCTTTCTCAAGGCATAACGCAGCAGCCTTGACGTCATTATTCCATGTGGCCATGTGTAAGACTGTGTTGTCCTGTAAGTCACGAATTCCCAAAAGTTCTTTCTCGTTAGTATCTACATCTCTGTCGGCAGCTGTAAAGTACAACAACAACGACAGCAAGTTAAGGGAAGAATTCACTTACATATTGCACCTTCGCCATACAATCACCCCATTATTACGACCAAAGACGACCTTTAGGAGTCTACTCCCAGGCGCTGTCCTCTGCACAATCTCACTATATTTATACTAGCCTAGGAAGGTGGCGAGATTTATCTGCGCGACTGCTTCTTTCTATGAGTGCCATTGCTGCTTTTTGGGGGGGTATAAAGCAGGGACAGAAATGGGGACGAGTCAAACTGAGATCCCGCAGCATGCAGCCGAAAAACGTCGTGGCTATACAGTGTACGCGCGGCGGATAAAGCACTAACCGATTCTCATACCGCCACTTAAGCAGGTGGATACGATCAGGCAATTTGTACATAGTTGTTAGTAGTGCATAATTGAGCGTTTAAATGAAATGTGTGCCTTCCAGCAAATTAACCGTCGGTATTCATCTGTCGTCACCAGAATTTCACGGAGGACTTGTACCACAGTGAGACGCTTCCAGATTTATATGACTAACTCCTTAAGAAGACCTAAATTTAATGACCCAGAGGGGATCGTTCAATAAATAATAGATAAATAAGGCTCGGACTGTTTACACTCTGAAGGAGTTACTGCAATTACTATTAAATCAATAACCTCTAACCTCGCTTCAAAATCACCCTCGCAACCTCTGAATGTCCATTCAAAATGGCACTATGAAGCGGAGCTGTCTTGTCCGCTGAAATCACTGTTATGTCCGCTCCGAAGTTCAACAAGATTTGACAAACCTTTCTGTGGCCTTCGCTGCAGGCAAAATGCAGAGCAGTTTTTCCAGAATTATCTTTAGCGTCAACCTCAACGGAAGGTTGATCCAAAAGAACTTTAACGATCTCCTCATGTCCTCCACGCGCTGCTAAGTGAAGTGGGGTGTTCCCATTTTTCCCTCTCAGGGAGGGATCTGCGCCTCTTGGCAGGAGAACATCGACAACTGTGGAAAGACTGTTGAATCTAACACAAACAAGAGGACTTGGTTAAACTAGTAGCTTGCATACAACCACTCTATATAAAGTGCCTAAAGGAGCTAATAAAATAAAATATAGAACAATATAGACCATTATTTCCGACACATGTTCTTGGACACATGTCATTTTGTTGCGTTACATTATAGTTCTAGAGAAGTCACAATACTTGTTTTCTTTTGCTAGCGAAAGAAGTGCGTGACGATAAAATGTGGCGCAACTTTCGAAAGAACTCCTCGCTTAAAGGTGCTTGTTTGGTGGTTGTCCATCGTGTCCGAAGAAGACTGCGTGTTGTGTGATCATCCACGGATTCTCTGGTGGCTCTGCAAACCCAATCTGGAAGCGCAGAGTCTGGAGCAGGTGGGACACTGGAACTCCGTTGTTGTGATATCAGCAGCGATTGTTCTTTGGCTTCGTTCATAGGCTGCTGCCATGAGTCTGTGACGCGGTCGTCCTCGAAACTGGTGGGAGCAGTGAGGGTCGGTGAGCATCATTGACTTCTGTCGCTGTCTGAAGCCTCAAGTTTTTCAGTGTCCTTGTAACGCGCACAAGTTCTCCATACAGCAGTTGACGGGGCATGAGAGGATCGTCCATTCTGATGATTTGTCCCACCCATCGCAGCTGGGCCTTGATGAGTAAGGTTTCAATGCTGGTACACTCAGCACGGTCCAGGACCTCGAGGTTTGTGGTGCGGTCTTGCCAGCACATACCAAGTATGGAACGAAGGGCACGCATGTGAAAAGTCTCTAGCTGTTTGACACGCCTTGGTGTGTGTCTCTAGCTGTTTGACACGCCATGTGGTGTTTGGAACAGGCTGGTACAGTGCCTCGGTTTTGCTGAGGCTGATTGTCAGACTGAAGGCCTTCGACGACTCCAAGAATTTGTTGAGCATCAACAGAAATTCCATACTGATGACGTAACATCTGTCCGGTATCTGGTCAGGAGCTCTGATTGGTCGACACAGTATTTATATTGTTTTATCTATTGTTTACAAATGACAGACAAAAGAAAAAAACTCCTCAAAGTCCAAATGTAAATGATAAGACGTGATGAATCTATTACAAAACAGTCAATATTCCTGGAAAAATGTTTTCTTTTGGAAAAAAGAATCTGAGTTTTGCTGGAGCTCGTTCGCAGTAAAACACAAAACATTACCATAATCGACCAGGAGAAACATAAAGTCGAACAAATTTACATTTGGAACCCCATGATTACTTGATTTGTTATGCGAACAATTACCACTTCGACGATCATATCTTCATTTAAATTTGTATTTCCGCATTTCACATAATCTTCATGTTTTCTTCCTTTCACGTTTTTAGACGAGCTCGGCAAATTGGCCTGCTCTCAGTGTATGGGTCTTCATAGCTCAATTGGTAGAGCACTGCAGCGCTAACGTAGAGGCCATGGGTTGGAATCACGTTGAAGTCTCGAAATTTTTTTCGGGTTAATTTGCAATTCCTTAAATTGCAATTACCACTGCGACGATTATACCATCACTCAAATTTAAAAATTTATTTACGTCATCAGTATGAAATTTCAGTTGCCGAGGTGTAGACGTTCCTCCTGGCAAAACGTCTCTAGCGGCGAGGAACAAGGAGAGAACGGCTGCATTCGCAGGCTATATTATTGTTATTTTTACCATAAGTTTATTTTTTCATTAAAATATTATTCCTCACTAAGCGTATACAACGTTTATAATTTTGTTAATAACTTCCTTTTGCGATTGATTTCGAAGGCAGAAGTACTTTTATGACATCATATGTGACCCATATGTTTTACGTCCTACTTCGCATGCAGACTAGTTTTGTCGGCTTTGTTGGGCATATATCGTTAAGGGTGGTTTGTTTTGCCCGGTCAAAAGCTTGGTTATTTTTCTGAAACATATCTTTGAATACGCCGTTGCAGGAAAAAAAACCGGACGTTGCGTGGAAGCGAGGGCCTAAGGGCCCTTCGGCCTTCGTGGCGCCTGGCGGTAAAATCAAATTGTTGTCGAAAAAAGTTCAAGATGGAGCAAGTAAATTTTGAAGTTGTCAAATTGACATTCGAGGAAAGAACGGGGCCTTTAAAATTTGCAAGTTAAAAAGTAAACCAGGTAAAATTCTGGTAAAAATGTAGAAGAATAAACCAAGGCGGTAACAAGAAAGACCTTTACGAAAGTTAAGTTTAAGGTGAAATGATTTTATAACTTTACAAACCGACCGAAAGATACGATAAATTCATTTTTTTCCTGGCCCACAGAGTCAAATACCTTAATGTTATGTCTGAAAATAGAGATAAAGTTTATGATCGTGACCCAGGCAAAGGCTTCACCAGGCCCAACTCCAGTGTCAGTACTCAGAGTTGTTCCACTGACCGATACCCTAGATCACCTTAAGGATTGCAGCAAAATTACTGAAAAAAACCTCTCTCTACGTATGCCATTGAGGAAATGTTGAACATGATCTTGATCATGAAGTATCAAAAACTGTTGATAACGACGTTGTTTACGTTAGGCCATGGCTTTTTGTTGTTCCTCCTACAAAAATATTGTGTCAAATGTAAAGCACGTATGCTTGTTAACTCAGTTCGAAAACCCAAACTTCCAGGTAGACGAACAGTGAAACATTAGCGGTCAATCAGGGCCTTAAAGATTATCAAGCCAAGGCATCATACATACACACCAGGTCATAAGAGGAGGGGCGTGTTGTCTACTTTTTTATAACCCCTGTCCTTTGAAATTGAGAAACTTAGACCCCTAGGCTATTGAAAAACTCAAAGGAACATTGTCAGAGTTAACAAACGTCTTCCCTTTCAAAAGATGAATCCTAATGCTTCTGAGATAGTACTTGTGAATTCCCTAATTGAAATTGCTGCTAAAGGATTTTCTCTACAAATGCAAATGAAAGATTTTACTCACATCTGACTGTTCTTCTACAGACGGTAGTACATATACTTCTGTTTTCCAACCAAATCCATGTTTAACAATTACAACAGTGTGTCAAGTCAATTTAACAATCACAGCCGACAATACAGACAATAGTTGATGTGAGCACAAATCAGTTTCAAGATCTCATGTGTCAAAAAAAATACAATCTTGTCTCACTGAGCCAATCGAACACAGTCAACAATAAAGATACTGTAATTGACATGAACTTGAACACAAATCATTTGATAGATCAGCCCTTCAGCATGGATCAACAAGGAATTGTTTCAGCAACAGGTAACTTTTATTATGGCATCATAGAAGGAGAAATTAGTACACCTATAAAACTTTTTTGACCAAGCTCAAGTTTGGCCTGTGGTATGACCTCAAGTTACAGCTGATCTCATTGCAATGTATACACCCGGATTTTAAGACATGATTCAACGGTCATGATTCGACCTGTCATGATTGGACACTAATCACGTGACGTATCGCTTTGCAGTACGTAAACGGTTGCAAAAATAATTTAGAGTTCTACCGTGGGATCCGAAACGGTGAGAGGAAAATCTGGCTGGAAAAGAAAGCTTAGCACTAAAGGACATAAGTGTAACGAAGCTAGAATCCCGACAAATGCGTTTTACCTGAAGAGGAAAGCTTATGTTGCCTGGAAAGCGGCGACATGAAACAGAAATTATGATAACATGTGATACCTGGAGTTCGATTGCCGAGTTTTAATGTATTTCTGTAGGCGACTTCAAAATGGACGAAATATTATCAATACGGCGAAAAGCGAAATAGTCCGATGGTTTATCGTTTAGTCTTCTTCCGTATGTCAAGGTTTCGGTATTTTGCCGTTGGTGAATACCACCCGTAATTAATTTACATGTAACAGTAATGCAAATTTAGTTAACAGGGGGGGAAATTTGTATTTCTTCAAGTTGGTACTTTTTCGTCCTTACTTAGCTTCTGCATTGTTAAAAAATAACAGGAAAACTTGACGTTTTGCAGAAGAAATCAACAGATAAATGTTTTGTCGACCATTGAAAAATATAGCAATGCGCGGTCCTCGACCTATGACCCTAGTGAGCACAAATAAAGAAAACCATACATAAAAGAAAGCAACATTTGTTTTTTATTGAAAAAGGGTAAAATATGATATTTCTTTAAAGATCAAGGTAGAAGCCCAAAAAAAAAGTTGAGAAAAGAGCCGAAGAACTTATTGATCGAGACGTCCACACGCCCGATCGATAACGTGTATTGCGAGTAGATTGCGTGACTTGTATGAGAGGCTGTTGTCTGAAAAGGAGAACAAATTATAGATCACGGTCCTCTTCTTCTGAATTACAAGACAAACATTCAAGCTATCATTATAGTAACTTTCAGATTGTGTGCTTTGATTCCTGTAGGATATTCAAGGTAAAATACTGTACTGCTTGGTAACCTCTTCGTCGAATCATGTCTAAAAATCAGGGTGTATTCCAGGGGCAGATCCAGGATTTTTTTAGGAGGGGGTGCACTCGTCTCTGTACGTCAACAGCAATAAACCATATAGTTTTTTTTTTTGCAGAATACCAGTTGTATTAGAAAACCGCAGGTCATCTCGGGGGCGCACCCTGCACCGTCCCTAGATCCGCCCCTGTATACACAACACTGAAATCAGCTATAAATCAAGCAAGTCGGCATGGGTTATTGTTAGCACAGGTCTTTTATTCACTCTGATCCTACATGTGAAGAATTCCTCATTATAATCTATCATGTCACAACCTGTAGCAAATTTAATGTATTAACACACTAACTACATGTATTAATTGTGTGTGATATTATACACTTAATGTCAGATCCCGAGGGAAACAGTTAGTTTTGTTTAACAAGAACTCGACTTCGTCTCGGGAAACATCAGGACTCGAGGGAAAACAAAACTAACTGGTTTCCCGAGGGACCTGTTTTCACATGAGTGACATCTCTCACACTGATATAATAAGTTAGACGGAAACGCTTGATTCTATAATACTTCCAAAACGCTAAACGTAAAGTAAAGTTTCATCTCTCAAAAGGCGTTCCAGACCAAACGTGAAAACTTAACCCTTCTTCCTTGCTTTAGGAAGTTATTTTTAAGGATTTCCAGTTCTAAACGTGTCCTTCAGCAAATTGTTCGATCCCTGGAAGACCAATAAGTTAACAGCTTGTACTTCATCGCTCAATGACGATTCTACCGACCTCTTTTTTTCTCATGGGATACTTTTCCTTATGTCCCCGTTATTCTTTAACATTTAATTTGGCTGAAGACGAAGCAGAAACAGCAAGGGATGCCTCCTGTTTTTAAGTCGACCTTTCTATGTCCGGCGAGACTAATTCTGTAGTCGTTTGGTACGAAATGCTTTGAACAACAAGATTCCTTTTTCCCATTTTCTCCTTGATTCAGGATCTGATGAAACTTTTTTGGTATATAGGTGAGATCCGGCCGATTTTCACTTCGATTATTTTATGTGGGTGCAGCACTTGTTAGTCGAGCTTGCTTGAGCAGAGCGAGACTCTTAAAATCTGATCGTTTTTTTTTCGTCGGTGGGACCTGGTTTGTAGGTCCCACGTTCCTAACGAAGACCGTGGAAACTGGGGATAAGAATCGTGACGACTTTCATTGTATGGAAATGAGTCTCGTGATGAGAATGCAGTTTATTTTCGGCGATGACTGAAATGACCCATGTAAGTTTGGCAATGACGTAATCTTCCTCGAATGGAGGCCCTTGATTTTCGTGTAATTATGCACGACATGCAGGCACTTTAAAAAGGAAATATCCCCAAGCAGGATGAGAAAATATTATAGCGGGAAAATCCTCAGGATTTTGTGGCTTTTAAGGCATTACGTTTCTCAGAGTATTGTCACAATTACAGGAAATGTACGGTTAAATAGATTGTTTTATATATTTAATTGATAGATTTTCGCAGTTGTTACGATGTGAAGTCGTGTTGCACTTCATAAATACTTGAGATGAAGTATCCACTGTCACGTAATTTTTACGTGCTGACGTGCGTAAAATTTGCGTTCGCAAATAAAATAAAGGCAATGTATGAAAGGCCGCACGTACAAAGGTAGAAACTTGCTTAATTTGATGTTTAATCTCAATACTTTATGTCTTACCTCTATTTGATTTACGTGATTAAAATTTACGTGCGTTAACGTGCGGAGCCAAAACGCATCAGTGGAAATCCACCCCAACGTGTCACGGATGTGTTTATACGGGTAGCTTTCAACTTGATTAACCGCACACTCTACTTGCAGCACTTCATGTCCATAGTTAATAGAAATCCCATATCGAGCTTTTCCGGAACAGGTTGGTCCAAAATTCTATGGCTTGAAAGCGTTGATTATTTTGGAACAACTGATCACTTCAGTGGTCGAAAAAAAAAAAGAATAATCTTAATGAGCAAAACTTCAAGGTTTTACTGGAAAATCAGGATAGAGGATCGAAAATCAGGGATAGAGGATCGTTTAAAAAGAACTTGAAAATAAAATAAATAAATAAATAAATAAATCGTGGATCAGTGGTGGACCACAGACTGTAGATAAATTTCACAGAACATAACCCCGTTCGCTGTACTGAACACTAAATTCAAGTTAACTAATCCGAGTCTGTCTGAGTCAGTGATTGTTTTGACGAGAAAGTGGAATTTTCCGGAAAAATGAAACGCTTTATCCCGGTGATACTGTAATACAAGAAAAAATTTAACAGTTTTGAATCTTTAAGTGTACATTTGCTTTCAGTACTCCTTATTTTTCTTGTAATTGTTGTATGCAGGACCCCACCAGCAATGCTGATCTTTTTATCGTACCGTAAACTAAGTTTCTTACCTACCCACCTACCTACCTACCTACCTACCTACCTACCTACCTACCTACCTACCTACCTACCTACTTATCTATCTATCTATCTATCTATCTATCTATCTATCTATCTATCTATCTATCTATCTATCTATCTATCTATCTATCTATCTATCTATCTATCTATCCAGCTATCTATCCAGCTATCTATCTATCTATCTATCTATCTATCTATCTAACTATCTATCTATCTATCTTTCTATCTATGTATGTATGAATCTATTTATCTATCTATCTATCTAAAATGCATGCTGCGTAAAACTCTAAACATTGTACTCTGAGACTGTACGGAGATATTAAAAGTAGATACTAAGCAGCTATGGAAAATGTCATTACTTTCATACGATATTGATATCTTATAAAACGGACAATAGAGTGATAATAACAATAGAGTTAATAGAGTGGTAAAAGGGACGAGGTGCTAAAGACGGGCAATAACTCCAATAATTCTACTTATTTTTAGTGATACATTGTCAATGTGGTATTTCCAGCTCAAATGACTATCCAGTAAGACACCTACATATTTTACATGATCCTTACACTCAAGGAGGTAAGAAATGATTACTGTTATCAAACATTAGAATATTGACCGAATAGTCCATCTTACGTAGGTGAGGACGAAAAGATAACTAAGTTTGACTATTTAGCATTTAATGTTAGCTTATTTGCATTGAGCCAATCCGAGACTCTGACCAGTTGGTTATTGACCGTTTTTTCAAAGATTTAAGGTTTTTGTCGCCATACAACAAATTTCGCTGAAGCGTTATGAAAATCATTAATATAAATTAGGAATAACAAAGGACCAAGAACAGAGCCTGGTGGGACACCATGAGATCTTATTAATGGTCCATTAGAATCTATTTCAGTCACTTGTGAACGGCCAAGAAAGGTGAAGAAAACCAGTCGTTAAATGATGCCCGTGATACCATAGTGATTAAGTTTTTTTCAGTAAGATTGAATGATTGACGGTATCAAGGCCTTATTTTAACAATTTGAAGAGACTTAGAGATTTTTACGTAAGTGCGGTAAAAGGAAAAAGTGGTTTGGAGGATGGAATCTAATGCTGACCGGTCAACGACGTATTTCCAGAACTTTCCAATACCTTGCACGCTTACTGAACAGCATTACCAAGACCACTTCCCGCGCATGCTGAAAAAATTAACTAGGACCACCCGCGCCTAGTTTCTTCAAATCGAGAAGATTTGACATTTTACCAATACAATGAAAAAAAAAAAAACGATACTTCTCTACGCGGGGATTTTAGGGTCCGGAACCCTGAGGGGCAATAATTTCCCCGGGCCTTTAAGACAAAACACGCGCGAGATTATTTCCTGCAAATTTCATTCGTTACCATTTCAGTACCCATACTAATACTATAATTAGTACAGGCATTAGGTAATAACATGATTTCTAGTGATATTTGACATAAATACCACGAGTGCGGATATTTCAAACTTGTTACACTTAATTTCACGAGCCGATAGGCGGGTGAAATTTGAGACAATTTTGAAATATCACGTACAAATCATGCTATTATTTGTTTATACTACTACCCGGAAAGGTTTTGTAATTTTCAAATGTAGGTATTTCAAATTAAGCTGAAATCCCACTGCTCTAAGCCAATCAAATTGCAGAAATTTTTCATGTAGTAGTATAATGAAAGTAAATTATAATTATCATAGAAAATCTCCCAGAATCCTTTGAGGCATTTTTTTTTAAAAAGGCTTTATAACTTTGACAATTTTATACGTAGAAGATTGTCAGACCACAACAAGATTAGGGACCTTACGCTGATCCGGGGGGGTAAACTTTTACCGCGAACATTTTATCGACCCGACTAACTGTCCCTAGGTCTCCGAGGATGGTGCTTCTCCAAAGAGTAGGGATTTTGCGCAGTTTTGGTCTGAAAACGGGTATAGACTTTGCTCATTTTGGTCTGGAATCGGGTTTGGTTTTCTAGGGAACTACGGGAGTGTAATTGTTTCAATTCCAAATAACGATAAATATGCAAGTTCGAAATGGATTTTAAGAAATCTTTTTTGTTGCTGTTCTAATCTAAGTAATGATGACATAATTTCATAAAGGCCAGGTCTGAGAATAGGTATGGATTTTAGAGGTGGGGTCTGAAAACGGATGTGAAAAAGACATTTTTTGGTATGAAATAGGGTCAGGAATTGGACAACATGGCGGCACTGCCCAACCAAGAATTCCCAGGTGTACCCTCCCCCCGGGGGGCTGACTTTGTTTTAAGGAACGCTAGAGTTCGATTCATCTTCGCCGTCGTTTTTTCTTTTTCAGTTAGGCATTCTAAAGTTTTACCCCCAAAGGTGAAATTATCCATGAAACTGGGTACTTAAATGAAAACTATAAACCACAGCCTCATAGTCACGCCCTGATCACACATTTCTTCTACATCGTAAAAGCTTTCCTCCTTTCTCCAAATTTTGATTTAAATTATCATGGATCTTATGTGAGCAAGAACAGTCAAAACTCAATCGCGGAGACTTCCTTTCCATCAAACTTTCGCAAATCAATAATCCAAAAAAAGCCCTTGGGAGTGTACTTGTTAACTAAAGATAGAAGCCACGTAATTGATCTGAGAAAGAGAGGATTGAAAATGATCGGTTTCAATTAATATCGAGATGCTTTTAATTTTGAGCTTTAAAAGCCAATGTATCGCTAAAAGATACGGAAGTTGTTACTCAGCAGTATAGGACGTGATGACTTTCCTTTTAATACCTGATTTGTCAAATACAATATACAATATGTAAAGTTTCATATGATAGTAGACAGGGCGGAATATTGGATTGTTCTACTTCAGCCTCAAAAGAAAGCAATAAAAGTTAGTTTCCTCAAAATAACAAATGCAATAAAGAATGAAATTAGTCAAAGGAAACAGACGTTTGCATGTTTTAAGGTCTTTTAGAAGGGAGCAATACTCTCAAGTAGAGATAGAACATTTATTTAAGTTAGTTCTACCGAATTTTACATATTGCTTTTCTGTGTATGGAGCGTCTGAATCACATTTGAATATTATACAACTGTTTGTTGGATCGCTGCCACAAGCACCGCTTTGTTTCTTCTCCAGTTTCTATTAAGGATCTTTTATATAGACAGGACTGCAAGATTTTAAAGGCTATTATCTCTGTAGATAACCATCCGCTAGGCTCGTACTTACCACCAACAAAGGAGAATAAATATAATCTGCATAAAAAACAGTATGCCCTCCCCAAGGTTAATACTGAAAGATTTATGACATCTTATGTAAGTAGACTGATTTTTAAACGCAAGATAAGGTAGTTTCTACGTAACATTTTATTTGTGGTGTAACTAGTTTAATTTTTAAGGTAAATTTTTATTGAGTGTATACTAGAATGTAACAAAAGATGTGTACTTTTATCTTTTAGCAATAAAGACTATTATTATTATTATTATTATTATAAACAAATTCTTACACTATTTAACAAACGATCTGTTGTACACATCCGCTTGCGCAAGCTAGCGATAATTTCAGTGATTTGTGTAAATAATATGGCAATTTCAAGGGTCGATTCTGAGACGTTAGAATAGATAATGTAGAATATAATAATTTAAATCTTTCAACACACCTGGCTGCTAAATGAAGAGGCGTCCATCGATAGTCACTCGTCCCCACGTTGATATTCGCTCCACGACCTAGCAGTTTTGTCACTGATCTGCTGAAATTATACCGAGCAGCGACATGGATTAGGGCAAACCCCTGTCCGACTAATTTATCAATTTCGCACTTATCTGTTAGGGTAGAAAGCTCGGCTTCGACCAGATCCATTTCATCTTCTCGGATAGCTTCAAACAAATTTAAAGCATGATCTGATATCGGAGTCACGACCTCACTACTTTCCAGAGCTGAATCATAAACAAATGAGTGTCGTTGGTTCGCGGCTTTGGGTTCGAAACCAACCAAAGGTACCTCGCATTTTTCACTGGCATCTTTTTCATATCTGCTCTTAAAAGGGTTACAGCCGACTCCCCGCTGTTTTGGCTTGCTTTTTGCCATATCACCCTCCTCTGAAATGCTATGTTCCTGTTTTCCGTTCTCCATATTCTACACGATCGAAGTGAAAACATTCAGAACAGTGAAACCCTTAATTATAAAAGCAACTCAACTCACGTACACTTGCATTCGTTTTGCCAAGTATGAATAAGTATGTGAGTAAATAAATATGTGTTCCAATTTGGTAAAATTCAGAGCAAATGCTGAGAATCACCTGTAGTCCATGAGCCAAATCCTGAAATGATGTCAAAAAATGATTTTCGTAGCACCCCCTATGGGACCAAGCTATTTTGGTACCAAATTAAAGCTTATTGACTATATTTGATGAATTCACTTATTGCCCGGCTGGCAACTTGCACGTTAAGGAGATACGGCGGCGTTTTTAACGGGGGGAGGGTGGGGAGCATTTTTTGTCTGTATTATTAAAAAACAAATAACACAAAATAACACAGAAGTTCATAAGACAAAAAATGCTCCCCACCCTCCCCGCGTTAAAAACGCTCCCTTATCTCCTTAAAGTGCAAGTTGCCAGCCGGACAACAAGTGAATTTATCAAATATAGTCAATAAGCTTTAATTTGGTACCAGAATTACTTGGTCCCAAAGGGAATGCTACGAAAATCACTTTTGGGGGCCTTGGCTCATGGACTACTGGCTGCCTTTTCCGTTTAAAATAGAAACCTGACTTAAACAAACATTTTTGGCAAGATTTCCGTATATATGACCCCATAAATTAATTATGCATTCTGTAATTGTTTAAAGAAAACAAAAGACAGACCAATAGGCTATTTGGCCTGGTTTTGGCCAGACGTAGTTAATCGATAGATATCAATATTGGAAATTAATGGATATCATTGATGTCAATCGATTTAATCTGCTGATTGACATTGATTGATATCGGAAATCGATAGAAATCGAAGTCACAGAAAATGGCAGCTAAGGCTACAGAATTGAGCTGTTAATTCAACAGCAATCACTGCTACATACTCTTCATCTTCAGATTCACACTCAAAACCAGGCCAAAATAGCCTAAATCAGGCCAAAATAGCCAAAGCTAGGCCCAAAGGGACAGAAGGAGACAAACGGGCCATTTTAACCCACGTGTCTTTGTTTTGTTTTTCTCATGCACACGTGCGGGTGTCTCCCGTCCTTAGTCACGCAATAGCTCTCAATATTGGAATCATCATCATCTTTATCAAGTGCCTAATTAAAAAGTTTATATCTCCCTTTAGTAACTGGTACTTCTTGTGGGCGGGCCGCCTAGAGAATTTCCCAAAGATACATAGACTGAAGATATGGCAAGGAAGAGAAAGTATTACGAAACTTGGCCCGATAGTCCTTTTTGTCCCTTTTGTCCTGGTTTTGGCTTTTTGATGTTCGTTTGGCCCTTTTTACCTTTGTTTGGCCTTTTAAGCCTTGCTTTGGCCCGTCTTATCTTCTAAATAACTGGTCGATGTAAGATCGTTCATTATTCATGAAGGAGAACGCTTAGTAACCCTGCCTTCACCAATTTTCTATAAAAGGGACGCGTTACTTTGTGAAGTTTAGTTTCCTATCAGAACGTGTGCGGTTCGAACCAAAAATATGTGGAACAGTAACCTCCATTACAACCTTATTCAACAAGGTGCTGGAAAATATGAAGAAATAGAGAATACTTCATGGAAAGTGCTGGCGTACGGTATTTACGCACGAGTTGTTGACGTGTCAGAAATCGAACGAGTGAGCGCAGCGAACGAGTAAGATTTCTGATACAAAAACAACGAGTGCATAAATACTGTACAAAGGACTTTCCATGTGGTATTGTGTTTATTATATACATACTGAGACATTCATCATTTTCGCGGCCTTTTTATTTTAAATCTTTCAAAAATGCTAAATTTTGCCGCTACACACTTACCGCAAAATGACAACGAAAACGAAGTATCAGCTTTTGAGTAAAAACGTTTGTTAAAAACCTAAATGATGGTAAGGATATGAGGTAATCCAAGAACTGTAAGTAATCTTAACTGTTTGTTCTCAATGCACAATTGAAAATGAGTGAATTTAAGTAAAATGACCGGTTTCAATATAAGCTTAAGCTTAAATGAAAGACAAAGTAGCTCCGACAAAAAGCACAACAAAAGCTTACGTCTCGTTCTGTTTATCCCTTTCCGCTGTTGTTTCACCGCTCTCTACCGTATTTTTTTATCGACAGTGAAACAAACGAAACTATTCCACTCCATTTCCGAAATGTTTTTCACTTTTTTAGCGAGAAAAACTCCTTGAGTAAAACTTTTCTCGTTGATAAATGTGTGCGAAGCGGCGCTGCAAGCTGCAATAAAAGGCGGGAATTTTGGCGCGAAACTCCTACACCTCTGTGGCTTCTGATTGGACGTATCATTTTTCTCACACGTGAAAAAACATCGTTCGCGATTCTGATTGGACGTATCGTTTTTTTCACGTGTGAAAACCATCGTTCGCTTCTCTGATTGGCTATAACTAATTTGCGTACGAAAGTTTACGACATAGCTTTTTGGTGAGTATTTCTCAGTATGTATATAATAAAGCGAAGTCTCTAGCCAAGGAACGGAGTCTTCCCAAGAAGAAACAGAAAGCATAGATCCTTGGTCACGCATTTTTGATAAAGCCGAGAAACGCCATGAGACCCAGCTCAAGACATTGATCAATGAGTACGAAGGGAACGGAGATTCAGTAAATGTGGCCCGCGTGAAAGCCGAGAACGCTCTTCTTCCTGTTTACAGAAAAGAGCCGAGAAAAGTATACTCTCAGAGAATCTACAGTGGATGCGTGCAATGCAAAGAGATTCCACTTCCACTTCATAAATACTTGAGATATGAAGTATCCACTGTCACGTAATTTTTACGTGCGGACGTGCGTAAAATTTGCGTTCGCAAATAAAATAAAGGAAATGTATGAAAGGCCGCACGTACAAAAGTAGAAACTCGCTTAATTTGATGTTTAATCTCAATACTTTATGTCTTACCTCTATTTGATTTACGTGATTAAAATTTACGTGCGTTAACGTGCGGAGCCAAAAACGCATCAGTGGAAATCCACCCTAACGTGTCACGGATGTGTTTATACGGGTAGCTTTGAACTTGATTAACCGCACACTCTACTTGCAGCACTTCATGTCCATAGTTAATACAAATCCCATATCGAGCTTTTCCGGAACAGGTTGGTCCAAGAATTCTATGGCTTGAAAGCGTTGATTATTTTGGAAAAACTGATCACTTCAGTGGTCGGAAAAAAAGAATAATCTTAATGAGCAAAACTTCAAGGTTTTACTGGAAAATCAGGATAGAGGATCGAGAAATCAGGGATAGAGGATCGTTTAAAAAGAACTTGAAAATAAAATAAATAAATAAATAAATCGTGGATCAGTGGTGGACCACAGACTGTAGATAAATTTCACAGAACATAACCCCGTTCGCTGTACTGAACACTAAATTCAAGTTAACGAATCCGAGTCTGTCTGAGTCAGTGATTGTTTTGACGAGAAAGTGGAATTTTCCGGAAAAATGAAACGCTTTATCCCGGTGATACTGTACGTAATACAAGAATAAATTTAACAGTTTTGAATTTTTAAGGGTACATTTGCTTTCAGTACTCCTTATTTTTCTTGTAATTTTTGTATGCACGACCCCACCAGCAATGCTGATCTTTTTATCGTACCGTAAACTAAGTTTCTTACCTACCCACCTACCTACCCACCTACCTACCTACCTACTTATCTATCTATCTATCTATCTATCTATCTATCTATCTATCTATCTATCTATCTATCTATAGCTATCTATCTATCTATCTATCTATCTATCTATGTATGTATGTATGTATGTATGTATGTATGTATGTATCTATCTATCTATCTATCTATCTATCTATCTATCTATCTATCTATCTATCTATCTATCTAAAATGTATGCTGTGTAAAACTCTAAACATTGTACTCTGAGACTGTACGGAGATATTAAAAGTAGATACTAAGCAGCTATGGAAAATGTCATTACTTTCATACGATATTGATATCTTATAAAACGGACAACAAATTCAGCAGGAATACGCACGAACTGAATTGACTGTGGATTGTTTAAGGTTCTGTTAAACTTGCACTTTTTTCCTGTGCTGAACATATACTGTACCGAGCCGTATCTTGGTCCGGTACAAAGAAGCTATGTATATTTATAGTGACAGAGTCATGGGCTCCTGATACCGATAAAAATCATCGTTCAATTTTTCGAGTGTAAAATCCCTGAAAGAGTACTCCTCAATGGAGCAATATCAATATGTAGAAGGTTTTCAAAGGTTTCACACCGATTTGAGGCTAAGATGTGCGGCCTGTCTCTCCTTGCAATTTTTACTTTTTGAGTATATACATTATGACATACAGCACTCGTTTTGTATTCCAAACGAAAAAGTAGTATAACAGCACCGGGGCCTTTGACAACAAAACTCATCTCCAAGCAAGCGAGACTCAACGCTACTAAGAGCGTTCTTGTCTTTTTTTGCTTACAAGAATCTTGTCGTTACGTCGCCTTTTTGAGTATGAGGGCCCTTAGGCCTCGCTTCCATGCAACTTCCGGTTTTTCCCTGAAGCGGCGTATTCGTGTTTAATACGAGACGATCAGCGTTAAACTTAGCTCCTACGGGAAAATACTTGAAAAACAATACTTACAATACAATACCGTCAATACGTGAAAACCTATACGTCAAACAATACGTCAAATCCATTTCGTCACGTAGCGTTGTGGTGAGAAATATTTCTCGCAGACAAAGTGTGCCGGGTAAGATTCTTGCAAAAGCTTGTTTTTTCTTTCTTGTCGTTTTTTTTTTTTTCATATATTTTCTTTTCCCGATTGGCGTCTTGCTAAGCGCTGACTCGAAATGGTTAGCTTTCATTTACTGTTAGGTTTGTCACTAAATATAAAAATGTAAAACAAAATTTAAGTTTCAGTCAAATAGTGGTATAGACGATGGATTTCACCGGTTTCTAGGGCCGCGAATGTGAATCCCACTTACGCCACATTTTTTTAAAAAAAAAACTTTCACACACTTTATTATTATTAACAATCTACATTTACATAAAGTCCATTTCCGCCCGCAAATAGCAGGTGGTTAGTTGAAATTGCTGACAAAATTACGTACAGCAATCAGTAATAAATAACAAATAAATTGATGAATAAAGAAATAAATAACTAGATATATATAAATAAGTGAAATAAAGCTTAAACATTAATTGATAACATTTACAAAATCAACTACTTGAAACACGTAAAATTAACTGCGACACTAAATTACGATATCTATACTTTATAAATTAAACTCTGTATTTGCTCGATAGTTAGCTATTTTTTTGAAGCAGAATCGGCGATTCAACATAATCGCCCTTGGCCTCTAATAAGGAAAATAACATGTCATTGATATGTTTTTCGTAAGCTCTCTTGGGGAGGTGACGAAGGTCATCGCAAATGGAGTTATAAAACTTAGCTCCGAAACTAGCAAAAGAACCATGGTTTTGATTCAGTCTCGATCGTTTAAAATAAAAATTGCGGAAGGAGAACAACCTGGTCTTGCGATTATGCTTTTCATTAGCTTTAATGAATAGATTAATAACGTTAGTGGGACCAGTTAGAGATGAGATGTCGAACATTATTGAGGAAACTGTTTCAACGTATAACATATTTAAAGGAAGCATTTTTGAGGAGGTAAATAAAGGCACCGCATGTGCTCTGGGTTCAGAAAAATACATCAACCGAAGTACACGTTTTTGTAGCACGAAGATTTTTTGTAAATGGGATTTAGCAGCTTGGCCCCAAGCAGCCTAGCCATAGGATAGGTAGAGTAGTGTCAAAGAGCGATAAATACTTAATAGAGTGGTAAAAGGGACGAGGTGCTGAAGACGGGCAATAACTCCAATAATTCTACTTATTTTTAGTGATACATTGTCAATGTGGTTTTTCCAGCTCAAATGACTATCCAGTAAGACACCTACATATTTTACATGATCCTTACACTCAAGGGAAGTAAGAATGTGATTACTGTTATCAAACATTAGAATATTGACCGAATGGTCCATCTTACGTAGGTGAGGACGAAAGATAACTAAGTTTGACTATTTAGCATTTAATGTTAGCTTATTTGCATTGAGCCAATCCGAGACTCTGACCAGTTCGTTATTGACCGTTTTTTCAAGAGATTTAAGATTTTTGTCGCCATACAACAAACTTCGCTGAAGCGTTATGAAAATCATTAATATAAATTAGGAATAACAAAGGACCAAGAACAGAGCCTGGTGGGACACCACATGAGATCTTATTAATGGTCCATAAATTAGAATCTATTTCAGTCACTTGTGAACGGCCAAGAAGGTACGAAGAAAACCAGTCGTTAAATGATGCCCGTGATACCATAGTGATTAAGTTTTTTCAGTAAGATTGAATGATTGACGGTATCAAAGGCCTTATTTAGAGTAACAATTTGAAGAGACTTAGAGATTTTACGTAAGTGCAGGTAAAAGGGAAAAGTGATTTTGGAGGATGGAATCTAATGCTGACCGGTCAACGACGTATTTCCAGAACTTTCCAATACCACCTTGGACGCTTACTGAACAGCATTACCCAAGACCACTTCCCGCGCATGCTGAAAAATTAACTGGGACCACCTTACGCGCCTAGTTTCTTCAAATCGAGAAGATTTGACATTTTACCAATACAATGAAAAAAAAAACGATACTTCTCTACGCGGGGGATTTTAGGGTCCGGAACCCTGAGGGGGCAATAATTTCCCCGGGCCTTTAAGACAAAACACGCGCGAAATTATTTCCTGCAGATTTCATTCGTTACCATTTCAGTACCCATACTAATACTATAATTAGTACAGGTATTAGGTAATAACATGATTTCTAGTGATATTTGACATAAATACCACGAGTGCGGATATTTCAAACTTGTTACACTTAATTTCACGAGCCGATAGGCGGGTGAAATTTGAGACAATTTTGAAATATCACGTACAAATCATGCTATTATTTGTTTATACTACTACCCGGAAAGGTTTTGTAATTTTCAAATGTAGGTATTTCAAATTAAGCTGAAATACCACTGCTCTAAGCCAATCAAATTGCAGAAATTTTTCATGTAGTAGTATAATGAAAGTAAATTATAATTATCATAGAAAATCTCCCAGAATCCTTTGAGGCATTTTTTTTTAAAAAGGCTTTATAACTTTGACAATTTTATACGTAGAAGACTGTCAGACCACAACAAGATTAGGGAGCTTACGCTGATCCGGGGGGGGGGGGGTGTACCCCCCTATATAAGACATATAGCAGAAAACTTTCACCGCGAACATTTTATCGACCCGACTAACTGTCCCTAGGTCTCCTAGGATGGTGCTTCTCCAAAGAGTAGGGATTTTGCGCAGTTTTGGTCTGAAAACGGGTTTGGTTTTCTAGGGAACTACGGGAGTGTAATTGTTTCAATTCCAAATAAAGATAAATATGCAAGTTCGAAATGGATTTTAAGAAATCTTTTTTGTTGCTGTTCTAATCTAAGTAATGATGACATAATTTCATAAAGGCCAGGTCTGAGAATAGGTATGGATTTTAGAGGTGGGGTCTGAAAACGGATGTGAAAAAGACATTTTTTGGTATGAAATAGGGTCAGGAATTGGACAACATGGCGGCACTGCCCAACCAAGAATTCCCAGGTGTACCCCCCCCCCCCGGGGGGGCTGACTTTGTTTTAAGGAACGCTAGAGTTCGATTCATCTTCGCCGTCTTTTTTTCTTTTCAGTTAGGCATTCTAAAGTTTTACCCCCACAGGTGAAATTATCCATGAAACTGGGTACTTAAATGAAAACTATAAACCACAGGCTCATAGTCACGCCCTGATCACTCATTTCTTCTACATCGTAAAAGCTTTCCTTCTTTCTCCAAATTTTGATTTAAATTATCATGGATCTTATGTGAGCAAGAACAGTCAAAACTCAATCGCGGAGACTTCCTTTCCATCAAACTTTTGCAAATCAATAATCCAAAAAAAGCCCTTGGGACTGTACTTGTTAACTAAAGATAGAAGCCACGTAATTGATCTGAGAAAGAGAGGATTGAAAATGATCTGTTTCAATTAATATCGAGATGCTTTTAATTTTGAGCTTTAAAAGCCAATGTATCGCTATAAGATACGGAAATTGTTACTCAACAGTATAGGACGTGATGACTTTCCTTTTAATACCTGATTTGTCAAATACAACATACAATATGTAAAGTTTCATATGATAGTAGACAGGGCGGAATATTGGATTGTTCTACTTCAGCCTCAAAAGAAAGCAATAAAAGTTAGTTTCCTCAAAATAACAAATGCAATAAAGAATGAAATTAGTTAAAGGAAACAGACGTTTGCATGTTTTAAGGTCTTTTAGGAGGGAGCAATACTCTCAAGTAGAGATAGAACATTTATTTAAGTTAGTTCTACCGAATTTTACATATTGCTTTTCTGTGTATGGAGCGTCTGAATCACATTTGAATATTATACAACTGTTTGTTGGATCGCTGCCACAAGCACCGCTTTGTTTCTTCTCCAGTTTCTATTAAGGATCTTTTATATAGACAGGACTGCAAGATTTTAAAGGCTATTATCTCTGTAGATAACCATCCGCTAGGCTCGTACTTACCACCAACAAAGGAGAATAAATATAATCTGCATAAAAAACAGTATGCCCTCCCCAAGGTTAATACTGAAAGATTTATGACATCTTATGTAAGTAGACTGATTTTTAAACGCAAGATAAATTAAGGTAGTTTCTACGTAACATTTTATTTGTGGTGTAACTAGTTTAATTTTTACGGTAAATTTTTATTGAGTGTATACTAGAATGTAACAAAAAATGTGTACTTTTATCTTTTAGCAATAAAGACTATTATTATTATTATTATAAACAAATTCTTACACTATTTAACAAACGATCTGTTGTACAAATCCGCTTGCGCAAGCTAGCGATAATTTCAGTGATTTGTGTAAATAATATGGCAATTTCAAGGGTCGATTCTGAGACGTTAGAATAGATAATGTAGAATATAATAATTTAAATCTTTCAACACACCTGGCTGCTAAATGAAGAGGCGTCCATCGATAGTCACTCGTCCCCACGTTGATATTCGCTCCACGACCTAGCAGTTTTGTCACTGATCTGCTGAAATTATACCGAGCAGCGACATGGATTAGGGCAAACCCCTGTCCGACTAATTTATTAATTTCGCACTTATCTGTTAGGGTAGAAAGCTCGGCTTCGACCAGATCCATTTCATCTTCTCGGATAGCTTCAAACAAATTTAAAGCATGATCTGATATCGGAGTTACGACCTCACTACTTTCCAGAGCTGAATCATAAACAATTGAGTGTCGTTGGTTCGCGGCTTTGGGTTCGAAACCTACCAAAGGTACCTCGCATTTTTCACTGGCATCTTTTTCATATCTGCTCTTAAAAGGGTTACAGCCGACTCCCCGCTGTTTTGGCTTGCTTTTTGCCATATCGCTCTCCTCTGAAATGCTATGTTCCTGTTTTCCGTTCTCCATATTCTACACGATCGAAGTGAAAACATTCAGAACAGTGAAACCCTTAATTATAAAAGCAACTCAACTCACGTACACTTGCATTCGTTTTGCCAAGTATGAATAAGTATGTGAGTAAATAAATATGTGTTCCAATTTGGTAAAATTCAGAGCAAATACTGAGGATCACCTGTAGTCCATGAGCCAAATCCTGAAATGATGTCAAGAAATGATTTTCGTAGCACCCCCTATGGGACCAAGCTATTTTGGTACCAAATTAAAGCTTATTGACTATATTTTATGAATTCACTTATTGCCTGGCTGGCAACTTGCACGTTAAGGAGATACGGCGGCGTTTTTAACGGGGGGAGGGTGGGGAGCATTTTTTGTCTGTATTATTAAAAAACAAATAACACAAAATAACACAGAAGTTCATAAGACAAAAAATGCTCCCCACCCTCCCCGCGTTAAAAACGCTCCCTTATCTCCTTAAAGTGCAAGTTGCCAGCCGGGCAACAAGTGAATTCATCAAATATAGTCAATAAGCTTTAATTTGGTACCAGAATTACTTGGTCCCAAAGGGAATGCTACGAAAATCACTTTTGGGGGCCTTGGCTCATGGACTACTGGCTGCCTTTTCCGTTAAAAATAGAAACCTGACTTGAAGAAAAATTTTTGGCAAGATTTCCGTATATATGACCCCATAAATTAATTATGCATTCTGTCATTGTTTAAAGAAAACAAAAGACAGACCAATAGGCTATTTGGCCTGGTTTTGGCCAGACGTAGTTAATCGACAGATATCAATATTGGAAATTAATGGATAAAAATAGCCAAAGCTAGGCCCAAAGGGACAGAAGGAGACAAACGGGCCATTTTTACCCACGTGTCTTTGTTTTGTTTTTCTCATGCACACGTGTGGGTGTCTCCCGTCCTTAGTCACGCAATAGCTCTCAATATTGGAATCATCATCATCTTTATCAAGTGCCTAATTAAAAAGTTTATATCTCCCTTTAGTAACTGGTACTTCTTGTGGGCGGGCCGCCTAGAGAATTTCCCAAAGATACATAGACTGAAGATATGGCAAGGAAGAGAAAGTATTACGAAACTTGGCCCGATAGTCCTTTTTGTCCCTTTTGTCCTGGTTTTGGCTTTTTGATGTTCGTTTGGCCCTTTTTACCTTTGTTTGGCCTTTTAAGCCTTGCTTTGGCCCGTCTTATCTTCTAAATAACTGGTCGATGTAAGATCGTTCATTATTCATGAAGGAGAACGCTTAGTAACCCTGCCTTGACCAATTTTCTATAAAAGGGACGCGTTACTTTGTGAAGTTTAGTTTCCTATCAGAACGTGTGCGGTTCGAACCAAAAATATGTGGAACAGTAACCTCCATTACAACCTTATTCAACAAGGTGCTGGAAAATATGAAGAAAGCGAAGTCTCTAGCCAAGGAACGGAGTCTTCCCAAGAAGAAACAGAAAGCATAGAGCCTTGGTCACGCATTTTTGATAAAGCCGAGAAACGCCATGAGACCCAGCGCAAGACATTGATCAATGAGTACGAAGGGAACGGAGATTCAGTAAATGTGGCCCGCGTGAAAGCCGAGAACGCTCTTCTTCCTGTTTACAGAAAAGAGCCGAGAAAAGTATACTCTCAGAGAATCTACAGTGGATGCGTGCAATGCAAAGAGATTCCACTTCCACTTCATAAATACTTGAGATATGAAGTATCCACTGTCACGTAATTTTTACGTGCGGACGTGCGTAAAATTTGCGTTCGCAAATAAAATAAAGGCAATGTATGAAAGGCCGCACGTACAAAGGTAGAAACTCGCTTAATTTGATGTTTAATCTCAATACTTTATGTCTTACCTCTATTTGATTTACGTGATTAAAATTTACGTGCGTTAACGTGCGGAGCCAAAAACGCATCAGTGGAAATCCACCCCAACGTGTCACGGATGTGTTTATACGGGTAGCTTTGAACTTGATTAACCGCACACTCTACTTGCAGCACTTCATGTCCATAGTTAATACAAATCCCATATCGAGCTTTTCCGGAACAGGTTGGTCCAAGAATTCTATGACTTGAAAGCGTTGATTATTTTGGAACAACTGATCACTTCAGTGGTCGGAAAAAAAGAATAATCTTAATGAGCAAAACTTCAAGGTTTTACTGGAAAATCAGGATAGAGGATCGAGAAATCAGGGATAGAGGATCGTTTAAAAAAGAACTTGAAAATAAAATAAATAAATAAATAAATCGTGGATCAGTGGTGGACCACAGACTGTAGATAAATTTCACAGAACATAACCCCGTTCGCTGTACTGAACACTAAATTCAAGTTAACTAATCCGAGTCTGTCTGAGTCAGTAATTGTTTTGACGAGAAAGTGGAATTTTCCGGAAAAATGAAACGCTTTATCCCGGTGATACTGTACGTAATACAAGAATACATTTAACAGTTTTGAATTTTTAAGGGTACATTTGCTTTCAGTACTCCTTATTTTTCTTGTAATTGTTGTATGCACGACCCCACCAGCAATGCTGATCTTTTTATCGTACCGTAAACTAAGTTTCTTACCTACCCACCTACCTACCTACCTACCTAACTACTTATCTATCTATCTATCTATCTATCTATCTATCTATCTATCTATCTATCTTCTATCTATCTATCTATCTATCTATCTATCTATCTATCTATCTATCTATCTATAGCTATCTATCTATCTATCTATCTATCTATAGCTATCTATGTATCTATCTATCTATCTATCTATCTATCTATCTATCTATGTATCTATCTATCTATCTATCTAAAATGTATGCTGTGTAAAACTCTAAACATTGTACTCTGAGACTGTACGGAGATATTAAAAGTAGATACTAAGCAGCTATGGAAAATGTCATTACTTTCATACGATATTGATATCTTATAAAACGGACAACAAATTCAGCAGGAATACGCGCGAACTGAATTGACTGTGGGTTGTTTAAGGTTCTGTTAAACTTGCACTTTTTTCCTGTGCTGAACATATACTGTACCCAGCCGTATCTTGGTCCGGTACAAAGAAGCTATGTATATTTATACTGACAGAGTCATGGGCTCCTGATATCGATAAAAATCATCGTTCAATTTTTCGAGTGTAAAATCCCTGAAAGAGTACTCCTCAATGGAGCAATATCAATATGTAGAAGGTTTTCAAAGGTTTCACACCGATTTGAGGCTAAGATGTGCGGCCTGTCTCTCCTTGCAATTTTTACTTTTTTTTAGTGATACATTGTCAATGTGGTATTTCCAGCTCAAATGACTATCCAGTAAGACACCTACATATTTTACATGATCCTTACACTCAAGGGAAGTAAGAATGTGATTACTGTTATCAAACATTAGAATATTGACCGAATGGTCCATCTTACGTAGGTGAGGACGAAAGATAACTAAGTTTGACTATTTAGCATTTAATGTTAGCTTATTTGCATTGAGCCAATCCGAGACTCTGACCAGTTCGTTATTGACCGTTTTTTCAAGAGATTTAAGATTTTTGTCGCCATACAACAAACTTCGCTGAAGCGTTATGAAAATCATTAATATAAATTAGGAATAACAAAGGACCAAGAACAGAGCCTGGTGGGACACCACATGAGATCTTATTAATGGTCCATAAATTAGAATCTATTTCAGTCACTTGTGAACGGCCAAGAAGGTACGAAGAAAACCAGTCGTTAAATGATGCCCGTGATACCATAGTGATTAAGTTTTTTCAGTAAGATTGAATGATTGACGGTATCAAAGGCCTTATTTAGAGTAACAATTTGAAGAGACTTAGAGATTTTACGTAAGTGCAGGTAAAAGGGAAAAGTGGTTTTGGAGGATGGAATCTAATGCTGACTGGTCAACGACGTATTTCCAGAACTTTCCAATACCACCTTGGACGCTTACTGAACAGCATTACCCAAGACCACTTCCCGCGCATGCTGAAAAATTAACTGGGACCACCTTACGCGCCTAGTTTCTTCAAATCGAGAAGATTTGACATTTTACCAATACAATGAAAAAAAAAACGATACTTCTCTACGCGGGGGATTTTAGGGTCCGGAACCCTGAGGGGGCAATAATTTCCCCGGGCCTTTAAGACAAAACACGCGCGAAATTATTTCCTGCAGATTTCATTCGTTACCATTTCAGTACCCATACTAATACCATAATTAGTACAGGTATTAGGTAATAACATGATTTCTAGTGATATTTGACATAAATACCACGAGTGCGGATATTTCAAACTTGTTACACTTAATTTCACGAGCCGATAGGCGGGTGAAATTTGAGACAATTTTGAAATATCACGTACAAATCATGCTATTATTTGTTTATACTACTACCCGGAAAGGTTTTGTAATTTTCAAATGTAGGTATTTCAAATTAAGCTGAAATACCACTGCTCTAAGCCAATCAAATTGCAGAAATTTTTCATGTAATAGTATAATGAAAGTAAATTATAATTATCATAGAAAATCTCCCAGAATCCTTTGAGGCATTTTTTTTTAAAAAGGCTTTATAACTTTGACAATTTTATACGTAGAAGACTGTCAGACCACAACAAGATTAGGGACCTTGCGCTGATCCGGGGGGGGGGGGGTAAACTTTCACCGCGAACATTTTATCGACCCGACTAACTGTCCCTAGGTCTCTGAGGATGGTGCTTCTCCAAAGGGTAGGGATTTTGCGCAGTTTTGGTCTGAAAACGGGTATAGACTTTGCTCATTTTGGTCTGGAATCGGGTTTGGTTTTCTAGGGAACGACGGGAGTGTAATTGTTTCAATTCCAAATAAAGATAAATATGCAAATTCGAAATGGATTTTTAGAAATCTTTCTTGTTGCTGTTCTAATCTAAGTAATGATGGCATAATTTCATAAAGGCCAGGTCTGAGAATGGGTATGGATTTTACAGGCGGGGTCTTAAAACGGATGTGAAAAATGACATTTTTTGGTACGAAATATGGTCAGGAATTGGAGAACATGGCGGCACTGCCCAACCAAGAATTCCCAGGTGTACCCTCTGCGGACTGACTTTGTTTTAAGGAACGCTAGAGTTCGATTCATCTTCGCCGTCTTTTTCACCCAGTCAGACATTCTAAAGGGCAGGTTGGTTGTTTTACTCCCAAAGGTGAAATTTTCCATGAAACTGGGTACTTAAATTAAAACTATAAACCACAGCCTCATAGTCACGCCCTGATCACACATTTCTTCTACATTGTAAAAGCTTTCCTTCTTTCTCCAAATTTTGATTTAAATTACCATGGATCTTATGTGTGCAAGAACAGTCAAAACTCAATCGCGGAGACTTCCTTTCCATCAAACTTAGAGACATTTGCAAATCAATAATCCAAAAAAAGCCCTTGGGAGTGTATTTGTTAACTAAAGATAGAAGCCACGTAATTGATCTGAGAAAGAGAGGATTGAAAATGATCTGTTTCAATATCGAGATGCTTTTAATTTTGAGGTTTAAAAGCCAATGTATCGCTAAAAGATACGGAAATTGTTACTGAACAGTATAGAACGTGATGACGTTCCTTTTAATACCTGATTTGTCAAATACAACATACAATATGTAAAGTTTCAAATGAAAGCAGACAGAGGGGAATATTGGATTGTTCTACTTCAGCCTCAAAAGAAAGCAATAAAAGTTAGTTTCCTCAAAATAACAAATGCAATATAGAATGAAATTAGTCAAAGGAAACAGACGTTTGCATGTTGTAAGGTCTCTTAGAAAGGAGCAATACTCTCAAGTAAAGATAGAACATTTATTTAAGTCCTTAGTTCTACCGAATTTTTCATATTGCCTTTCTGTGTATGGAGCGTCTGGATCACATTTGAATATTATACAGCTGTTTGTTGGATCGCTGCCACAAGCACCGCTTTGCTTCTTCTCCAGTTTCTATTAAGGATCTTTTATATAGACAGGACTGCAAGATTTTAAAGGCTATTATCTCTGTAGATAACCATCCGCTAGGCTCGTACTTACCACCAACAAAGGAGAATAAATATAATCTGCGTAAAAAACGGTATGCCCTCCCCAAGGTTAATAGTGAACGATTTATGACATCTTATGTAAATAGAATGATTTTTAGACGCAAGATAAGGAAGTTTCTACGTAACATTTTATTTGTGGTGTAACTAGTTTAATTTTTAGGGTAAATTTTTATTGAGCGTATACTAGAATGTAACAAAAGATGTGTACTTTTATCTTTTAGCAATAAAGACTATTATTATTATTATTATAAACAAATTCTTACACTATTTAACAAACGATCTGTTGCACACATCCGCTTGCGCAAGCTAGCGATAATTTATTTTATTTTATTCGCCACACAATAATTACAAAAAATATAGGAAAAGAAGAAAAAAAGAAGTGGCGAGGAGACCTAACAGAAACTATAGGAGCTTATGATTTGTGTAAATATTATGGAAATTTCAAGAGTCGATTCTGAAACGTTAGAATAGATAATGTAGAATATAATAATTTAAACCTTTCAACACACCTGGCTGCTAAATGAAGAGGCGTCCATCGATAGTCACTCGTCCCCACGTTGATATTCGCTCCACGATCTAGCAGGTTTGTCACTGATCTGCTGAAATTATACCGAGCAGCGACATGGATTAGGGCAAACCCCTGTCCGACTAATTTATCAATTTCGCACTTATCTGTTAGGGTAGAAAGCTCCGCTTCGACCAGCTCCATTTCATCTTCTCGAATAGCTTCAAACAACTTTAAAGCATGAGGTGATATTGGAGTTACGACCTCACTACTTTCCAGAGCTGAATCATAAACAATTGAGTGTCGTTGGTTCGCGGCTTTGGGTTCGAAACCTACCAAAGGTACCTCGCATTTTTCACTGGCATCTTTTTCATATCTTCTCTTAAAAGGGTTACAGCCGACTCCTCGCTGTTTTGGCTTGCTTTGTGCCATATCACCCTCCTCTGAAATGCTATGTTCCTGTTTTCCGTTCTCCATATTCTACACGATCGAAGTGAAAACATTCAGAACAGTGAAACCCTTAATTATAAAAGCCACTCAACTCAGGTACACTTGCATTCGTTTTGCCAAGTATGAATAAGTATGTGAGTAAATAAGTATGTGTTCCAATTTGGTAAAATTCAGAGCAAATACTGAGAATCACCTGTAGTCCACGAGCCAAATCCTGAAATGATGTCAAAAAATGATTTTCGTAGCACCCCCACTTTGGGACCAAGCTTTTTTGATACCAAATTAAAGCTTATTGACTATATTTTATGAATTCACTTATTGCCCGGCTGGCAACTTTCACGTTAAGAAGATACGGCGGCGTTTTTAACGGGGGGAGGGTGGGGAGTATTTTTTGTCTTATGTACATCTGTATTATTAAAAAACAAATAACACAAAATAACACAGAAGTTCATACGACAAAAAATGCTCCCCACCCTCCCCGCGTTAAAAACGCTCTCTTATCTCCTTAACGTGCAAGTTGCCAGCCGGGCAACAAGTGAATTCATAAAATATAGTCAATAAGCTTTAATTTGGTACCAAAATTACTTGGTCCTAAAGGGAATGCTACGAAAATCATTTTTGGGGGCCTTGGCTCATGAACTGCTGGCTGCCTTTTCCGTTTAAAATAGAAACCTGACTCGAACAAAAGTTTTTGGTAAAATTTCCGTATATTTAACCCCATAAATTAATTATGCATTCTGTCATTGTTTAAAGAAAACAAAAGACAGACCAATAGGCTATTTGGCCTGGTTTTGGCCAGACGTAGTTAATCGATAGCAATCAATATTGGAAATTAATGGATATCATCGATGTCAATCGATTTAATCTGCTGATTGACATTGATTGATATCGGAAATCGATAGAAATCGAAGTCACAGAAAATGGCAGCTGAGGCTACAGAATTGAGCTGTTAATTCAACAGCAATCTACATACTCTTCATCTTCAGATTCACACTCAAAACCAGGCCAAAATAGCCTAAATCAGGCCAAAATAGCCAAAGCCAGGCCAAAAGGGACAAAAGGAGACAAACGGGCCATTTTTACCCACGTGTCTTTGTTTTGTTTTTCTCATGCACACGTGTGGGTGTCTCCCGTCCTTAGTCACGCAATGGCTCTCAATATTGGAATCATCATCATCTTTATCAAGTGCCTAATTAAAAAGTTTATATCTCGCTTTAGTAACTGGTACTTCAAATTTCAGATTTGTTATTTATTTCACAAGTTTACTATTATTGTTATTAATGATCAAGTAGCAAAAACCAACCAATAAAAGGAATGCAAAGAACAATGTGAAAGCTGGGAAGAACGCTATAAAAGTCTTAAACAACAACAACTCCACCCAGATTAGAATAAAGAAAGTCAAGAAACGGTTCACTGATGGCAGCCTCTAGAGTTTTACGCAATTTGGTCCTGATGTTAATAGAGAAAGGAGAGGTACTGGAAATTGCGTCAGAAAGAGGAGTGTGACGAATTAAAAGATCAATGTTTAGCTCTTCGACTGGAAAACAAGAGCATTCGTTATATAATCCTCTGTCAAGATTGTCGTCATTACTTGGACAGCAAGAGACCAGGAAACACCGTAGAAGAGTACAGTTGTCCCAGTTGTATAGGTGTGGGCGGGCCGCCTAGAGAATTTCCCAAAGATACATAGACTGAAGATGAAGCAAGGAAGAGAAAGTATTACGAAACTTGGCCCGATAGTCCTTTTTGTCCCTTTTGTCCTGGTTTTGGCTTTTTGATGTTCGTTTGGCCCTTTTTAGCCTTGCTTTGGCCCGTATTATCTTCTAAATAACTGGTCGATGTAAAATCGTTCATTATTTATGAAGGAGAACGCTTAGTAACCCTGCCTTGACCAATTTTCTATAAAAGGGGCACGTTACTTTGTGAAGTTTACTTTCCTATCAGAACGTGTGCGGTTCGAACCAAAAATATGTGGAACAGTAACCTCCATTACAACCTTATTCAACAAGGTGCTGGAAAATATGAAGAAAGCGAAGTCTGTAGCCAAGGAACGGAGTCTTCCCAAGAAGAAACAGAAAGCATAGAGCCTTGGTCACGCATTTTTGATAAAGCCGAGAAACGCCATGAGACCCACCTCAAGACACTGATCAACGAGTACGAAGGGAACGGAGATTCAGAAAATGTGGCCCGCGTGAAAGCCGGGAACGCTCTTCTTCCTGTTTACAGAAAAGAGCCGAGAAAAGTACTCTCAGAGAATCTACAGTGGATGCGTGCAATGCAAAAAGATCCCACTTTCAAAAAAGTGATGGAAACCCAAAAAGAACTTAAAGATTTAGAGGGATTTGATTTGTTGGAATTGACAGAACTAGCGATCGATAAGCGAAAATTCTTACTCAATCGATTGTGCGAAAAGCAGCTTATTCCACAAGATCAAGACTAGTCCTACTATGAATGTTATAGAATTTTTTTTCCTGGACCTTTGTATTGTTGCGTTTCAATAAAAACTGTAAACAACCAAACTTTATTAAAGTGTGGTTTATTAATGACTTCGCAATCTTTACAACCTTTTGCCTTTCAAATCGCTGTGTATTTGACTCTTTTTTATATTGGTTTTTAGTCAAGTCTTTAAAACGGTATCTCTTGTCTGGTTTTAGTGCTAGCAATTATTAGTAGCGTGTTTCAATTGATCCTTGTTAAGTTATTAATTGTTTTTATAATAATACATCAAGATGCTCCCTTGGGTTCTTCCTGTAGAGCTAATTTGCGGACTCGCATAATTACCTGACTAATGGTGGGTGAAACGCTGAGACTATAATAGTTTTTCAGTTTCCTCGAGATAGATAGGAGGAAACGGTTTTGTAATAGTCAGACAAAATTGAAATAGAGAGTTTTCGGCTCCACTTTGTCTGTGTTTATGTGTGTGTGTGTTTTGTTAATATATCCGATTTTGAGCGCTAAATAGAAGACATAAGCCGTTTCTCGCGTTGTAAGTTATCGCTCTTTTATTCCTAATTTCCTTTTAATAGACGTTCCGGACAACCGGACTAAAGCTACTTACAGGGCAAGTCTAGGCAAGCCTATTGTGCCTATTGAAAAGCCCCTTTGGGGAGGTAACAATAAAGTATGTATGTATTGTAGTAGAGAGACGCTCATTAGTAAACCTATCCACTTAATATGAAGGAAGGCAGTTAATTGGTGTGAAGGAAGACAGGTATTAGTATGCGGGAAGACCCTCATTAGTATGGAGGAACGCACTTTTTCTCTAGGTTATAACAATGGGTGTCGTCATAGACTATCCCTAAAGCGACTTTCCCTAATATCCTAATAAACTGTCCTTTCCTATCCACCAAACGGGCCCAAATCATATGACTACTAATAGATGCATGTTTTCGTGGATATGTTACAAGCAAAAGCATGAATAATTTACATGAATACACATTTCAGTTCTTTTGTTATGTATATTTGAACTTGAACACGCTAAAAGATATCAATCTTTTGACCAAGGAATCGCAACAAATCATAGTGGTCTAGTGGTATGGAAGAGAGACAGGAACGCCAGAGCTACAGGGAAGCGTTGGTTCAAATCTCGCCGACTACGGAGAAAAAAAAAGGGGTTTTCCGATTTAGCGGAAGTTCGTGCCATTTTTCCGAGATGTGAAATTGATTCCATTATACTGTAACAGGTCTTCTCGATTTTTTTCCTCATAAGTAAATTTTTGCAGGGTGTCATTGTTTATGCAAAATATCTGGCTCGTAAAAGGATAAATGAGCACAAACATGCCGGGTATTTTTTTTAAAAACAAGAGGATTCATTTGCAGTATTTGCGTCTAGCAGTCGCATTTGGCCGGGCGATGTGGCAAATAAATTCACACTCGGTCCTAACGGTTTCTAAAAGTCGTTTAAAAAAGATAAAGCATATACGCTAACAATGGAAAAAGTAAACAATTCTGCTGTTGTTTTCTGGATGATATCCCGGGCAGGGAGGGAATCTCACGATATCTGATTTTCCCTTATTAACCTGCGATCAGGTGGTCCTTAGATTTTCCCATTTTCTTTGGGAGGCCTGATCGCAGGTTATTTCTATATTTGCTACGTCAAAACGTAAATAAGAATCGTTTTCATTGTCTCATCGAGTGCCATATAAATACCATAATTTATAAACAGAAAAGGAACAACATTGCATATCTCCTCTCCTACAAATTGGGAAAGACGGCGAGAAGTCTCCAAGCATCGTATCTCGCAATTTCGTCTACTTGTGGACATCTATTCGACTCTCGTTTTGTGGGTTAGGCTGAGGGTTCCAAACTATGGCAAAAGCTCAATAAATTTATACAAACGGCAGAATGTGAAATCATACTTATTGGCGCAATCCAACTAACTAAGCGAATGCAAATATTTTTTGATACTGGCGCAAAATTCCGTGAGTTCCCACTAAGGTGCGAGATTACAGAAAAAAGCCTCATGTATTTAGCAATTATTGAATGAGGCTGAATAGGATATGAAGAATTCTGAAAATCGAGGAGGGTGTTATCGGCCGAGGTGGATAACACCCTCCAAGATCTGCAGAATTCCTCATATGCTGCGATAGCCGAATTCAATAATTGCTTTAATATGTAGATTTAGCCAGGGCTAAAAGCGAGGTGGATAACACCCTCCGAGATCTGCAGAATTCCTCATATGCTGCGATAGCCGAATTCAATAATTGCTTTAATATGTAGATTTAGCCAGGGCTAAAAGCGAGGTGGATAACACCCTCCGAGATCTGCAGAATTCCTCATATGCTGCGATAGCCGAATTCAATAATTGCTTTAATATGTAGATTTAGCCAGGGCTAAAAGCGAGGTGGATAACACCCTCCGAGGTCTGGAGAATTCCTCATATGAGTGCGATAGCCGAATTCAATAATTGCTTTAATATGTAGATTTAGCCAGGGCTAAAAGCGAGGTGGATAACACCCTCCGAGGTCTGCAGAATTCCTCATATGAGTGCGATAGCCGAATTCAATAATTGCTTTAATATGTAGATT